CGGGACTCCACCTTGATCCTTAAATGTCACCAACACCTTCAACTCCACTTCTTCTCAGTACAACGCTGCGACCCGAACCTCCCTCGTCGCTACTCTCCTCTGACAAGACCTGCAAAGGCTCCTCAGGCTTCCTCTTCTTCTAAACCTTTACTCTTACTATACCTCCGCCTTTTCCCACTCCACCACTCCACTCCATCCCGTCCTCCTCAACTCCTAACCCCCCTACCTTTCCATCCATCTCTGCTCCAGTCACAGCCCAGTGTTGCTCAACCACCTCCACCGGATTTCCTCTCCGTTTCGTTTATCTTTGTTCAAATCTGTTGATTTAGCTACATTGAATAATCGTCGTTTATCTATCCTAATTCACCGAACGCGGACAGCTTCTCAGCCGTCGTTCCTTCTCCCACCGGTCCCACCTGTGTGAAGTTAGCCACAATAAGGATTAGCCACAATAGTGGAATTTGCAGTTCGTCTTCAAAATAAAAATCCCACATTGAAACTGCTCCACACAGATACTGTACAAATAGTGGAATAATGCCATATTTGGACAAGATAATGCTAAACAACGTTTTGTTACATAGCTTAAACATAAATACAATAATTAATTAATTTGACAATAAACCAAAAACAAAAGTTCAAATCCCACTGTGGATGCATTAGACTGCATAATTGTATTGGGGGCATATATATTGTCATGAACCCTGCGTCCTGAGTCTGTTCCTGCCTGGGTTGCCGTTTTTCTGCTCTGAATCTCCTGTTTCCCGAAGGTTCCTGAACGCACCCTGTCCGGTTGCCGGGCGACGTTGCTAGGCGGGTGATCTCTCGATTAACCGCACCTGCTTCTCATCAGCTTCGGCACACCTGGTCCTGATCATCACCCCTTCATAAGCTCTGACCTGACATCCATTCCCTGCCAGATCGTTAGCCATTAACAGTATGTTTTTGTCAGCGTATCAGCCTCTGAGTACTAGCGTTAGTTTTGTTGTTTTTGCACCTTGTTGACCTGCCTTGTACTTACCTCTGTTTTTTCTGTCTACAGTCATTCTCCCGGAACCTTCACCCAACCCCTGCCGTGCCATCATTTAATCTGCCACTTCACCACCACCTACTCATCTCCGCCACCCGCTCCGTCTCCTGGATTATTCTGCATCTTTTGAATCTGTAAATAAACACTCACCTTCGTTCAACTCGCCTTGTCCTGGTCTGCTTCTGGGTTCTGTCTTAGAGAACCGTGACATATATCTGCACTGTAGAGCCTTGCCTATGGAGTGTGCACACATGAAATGGGAGTATCAGCCCACTCGGTGACACCCACAGAACACAACTATTAGGAGAACATTCCATCAACATTCCACCAAACATACATAGAATATGGTTGCCATGTTCTCAGAATGTACGATATTAATGTTCTAGACATGTTTCTGTGTATCAGTTGTCAAGACGTCGCCTGATGGTCCCAGAGATATGGTCCCCCAGTGGGTGTCAAACCCAAGCCACCAGCACCAATGATAAACGCCCTGACCCCTGTCCCAAGAAGGGATATCTCTAGAGCACCAATGATAAACACCCTGACCCCTGTCCCAAGAAGGGATATCTCTAGAGCACCAATGATAAACGCCCTGACCCCTGCCCAGACCCACTTGCTCACACCCCCATCTCCAGCCCCTGCATCACTCTCTGCCACATGGCCTCAAACTGCACCTTTTTGTTTCTCTCCGTGGCCCACGCACTTTCAACATTTAGATAATAAAGCGTTTCACCTTTACATTGTGTTAACAATGGAGGATTGGTTGATTTCCAGTTTTTAAGTCTTTGTTTTTTCAAGATGATTGACGAGAAAATGATTGTCCAACCCATCGGGTATCTCACTGCACCCTCGTATGCCATGTCTTGAAATATGCAGACAGACGGATTAAAAAGTAGATTTACATTGTAATACTTCTGACGGTCAACTTTCTAGCTCCGCCCATAACTTTTGGACTTTATAGCGTTCCCAGAAGGCACGGATTATTGAGTCATTATTAGTTTTACACTAAAGACATGACTCTGCCGTTGTGCTGTAGAATTTGGGAATTTTGTCTCTTGTATAATACATTCTATACATTAGTTTATACTGGATTAAGAGTACATTTTCGTTAACTGTCATTTTGTTAGTCACAGTTGAAGTCGGAAGTTTACATACACCTTAGCCAAATACATTTAAACTCAGTTTTTCACAATTCCTGACATTTAATCCTAGTAAATATTCCCTGTCTTATGTCAGTTAGGATCACGGCTTTATTTTAAGAATGGGAAATGTCTGAATAATAGTCAAGAGAATGATTTATTTCAGCTGTTATTTCCTTCATTACATTCCCAGTGGGTCAGAAGTTTACATACACTCAATTAGTATTTGGTAGCATTGCTTTTAAATTGTTTAACTTAGGTCAAACGTTTCGGGTAGCCTTCCACAAGCTTCCCACAATAAGTTGGGTGAATTTTGGCCCTTTCCTCCTGACAGAGCTGGTGTAACTGAGTCAGGTTTGTAGGCCACCTTGCTCGCACACGCTTTTTCAGTTCTGCCCACACATTTTCTATAGGATTGAGGTCAGGGCTTTGTTATGGCCACTCCAATACCTTGACTTTGTTTTCCTTAAGCCATTTTGCCACAACTTTGGAAGTATGCTTAAGGTCATTGTCCATTTGGAAGACCATTTGTGACCAAGCTTTAACTTCCTGACTGATGTCTTGAGATGTTGCTTCAATATATCCACATAATTTTCCTTCCTCATGATGCCATCTATTTTGTGAAGTGCACCAGTCCCTCCTGCAGAAAAGCCTCCACAGAGCATGATGCTGCCACCCCCGTGCTTCACGGTTGGGATGGTGTTCTTCGGCTTGCAAGGAACCCCCTTTTTCCTCCAAACATAACGATGGTCATTATGGCCAAACAGTTATATATTTGTTTCATCAGACCAGAGGACATTTCTCCAAAAAGTATGATCCTTGTCCCAATGTGCAGTTGCAAACCGTAGTCTGTTTTTTTTTATGGCAGTTTTGGAGCAGTGGCTTCTTCCTTGCTGAGCGGCCTTTCAGGTTATGTCGATATAGGACTCGTTTTACTGTGGATATAGATACTTTTGTCCCTGTTTCCTCCAGCATCTTCACAAGGTCCTTTGCTGTTGTTCTGGGATTGATTTGCACTTTTCGCACCAAAGTATGTTCATCTCTAGGAGACAGAACGTGTCTCCTTCCTGAGCGGTATGACAGCTGCTTGGTCCCATGGTGTTTATACTTGCGTACTATTGTTTGTACCGATGAACCTGGTACCTTCAGGCGTTTGGAAATTGCTCCCAAGGATGAACCAGACTTGTGGAGGTCTACAATTTTTGTTCTGAGGTCTTGGCTGATTTCTTTTGATTTTCCCATGATGTCAAGCAAAGAGGCACTGAGTTTGAAGGTAGGCCTTGAAATACATCCACAGGTACACCTCCAATTGACTCAAATGATGTCAATTAGCCTATCAGAAGCTTCTAAAGCCATGACATCATTTTCTGGAATTTTCCAAGCTGTTTAAAGGCACAGTCAACTTAGTGTATGTAAACTTCTGACCCACTGGAATTGTGATACAGTGAATTATAAGTGAAATAATCTGTCTGTTAACAATTGTTGGAAAAATTACTTGTGTCATGCCCAAAGTAGATGTCCTGACCAAAACTATAGTTTGTTAACAAGAAATCTGTGGAGTGGTTGAAAAACGAGTTTTAATGACTCCAACCTAAGTGTATGTAAACTTCCGACTTCCAACATTCCCTCCATCTTGTGCCATTCTCAGTTCTTTTTAAGTCTTGCTTCCAATAGTTTATACATTTTTTCTAAGAGATTGGCAGTTGGATCGGCTCTCTGCAAGGTTTTGTATAGCTTACCTAGCATATGAATATCATTTTCTGACTCAAATAGGATTCCCTCAAGATTGCTCTGATGTCCAAAAGATTTTCAAATAAAAATTTAATGATATGAAACTTTAAGTTGAAACATACTTTCCAATGTATCTAAATATAACGTTTTGATCTGGTTCCTTCCCCCAGACCTCCCTACCTCTGTGTCAATACCCTTGAGCCCATGGTCAAGCCAAAGCCTGGCATGTGTTAGTGGGGTCTCCAGCCATCTTGAGACGCTCCTTCCCATCCACGTGGTTCAACCCTTCTAGATATATTATAGCTTTGACTTAAAACATGATTCCAGGTGGCCTTGCTTCTAGATATATTAATTCACTGGATGTTGTACAACATTGTTAGGCCTAGTTTAAATACAAACTGTCAAAAGTATGGAAAGTATCAGTTATACGTTTTCAAGTGTTGGTGATCTTAGTTTAAAAGTTGATGGCAAAAGACAGTTGGTTTTGATGTGCGTTTATAACTTAGTATTACATGATGAACTATTCTGCCTAATTCGTTTCTCAACATGTAGGCTACTGCTCAGTGACAGCAGTAAACTTTTATTTAGAAGCCCAGTAAAGGGTCCATCAACAAAAGGTTGGTGATGATGTTTCTGCTTTTATTTGTGGAATCCTCACCCCACAACAATAAAATATATGCCTAGAGACTATTTCTATTTTCTCTTTCGGTAAAATACAGGGTGCATTACAGTAGAGTAGATCTAGCCTACGACTACAGGAGCACATTTTGGGGGTAAGTCGAAACCGCAGGGTCGAAACGTAGGTTTTGGTTTACCTGGAACTGTTTCCTTTCATTGCGTAACGCACAACAACAATTATTGCGTCACAATAGCTTGGCGCGCACCTGCCATTAACGTGTTCAAGGACACCCCGCTGTGGTCAGATACACTGCATCCATCAGACAGTTCGGTAACAGTGTAACCTTGCTTATTGCTTCACCCCCAAGTTTCCCCGTGGTAAAGAATACATAGCAGCACTGGATAGAAGCTACATCTCCGTGCGCATTTTGGCCATATTTCATCCTACAATGTTCGTGGTGATGTGTGACTGAAAAAAAGTCATAATGTTCACCAATTCAGTCGAGCATCCGGGCCTCCGTAAACTAGTGCCCCGGCTCCTCCAAGCATCCGAGGAGGAGATGGGCTCAGAGGTGGTCATCGGGTACTTCAAACAATTCATGGTTCTCCTCTGCTTCCTCCTTTTCCTCTTCTGGGTTATCCTTCTGCGGAAAGATGATGTGAGTACTGAGCTGTGCGCCAAGCCTGTAGGCCTAGCAGCAGGAAGACGTTCTGAGTAGGGGGGTGCTGCGGGGGAGGGCTGGGTGTTGAGATAAATCACCTTCATAATAGAGTATTTGCAGGCTAACAATAAAATACAATTCCTAATGGGATGAGTAGCCTCAGCATAGGACAATATTCGGTAACAGTAGTCACTGCAGCCTAAAGTTAATTGAAATAAATGTGCCAAAATTATATAATTAGCTACTCCTGTCAATACAGAAATAAATAAAATCCCCAGAGAGCATGATGTAGCCACAGAGAACCATTAGCTTCTCTTAAAGCTGTGGATTGTTTAAAATCACAAGCCAAATACCTTTATTCCTAGTCGGGAAGCCCGCAATTTGGCCAGCGTGTGTTTGGCCAGCTGATTATTGAGACGCGGCTGTCAGTGAAAAGCAATGCACCTAAAATGTGGATGAAGATATTGTGTCTTGAGTATAATTTGACGTTTTGAGACAAGAATAAGGGGAGGGTGTGTGGCGAAGATATAGTTGGTAAGTAGTGATATAGGCCAGTCTCTCTCCAGAATGGCTCAGCTGTCTCCCGCCAATTCTTGCGCATTCATTGTTTTATTGTGTTAATTGTTTGCCCTTTGATTGTTTATTTTCATATATTCCCCATTACATACAGTAACAGTCAAAAGTTTGGACACACCTGCTCATTCCAGGGTTTTTCTTAATTTTTTACTATTTCCTACATTGTAGAATAATAGTGAAGACACAAAACTATGAAATAACACATATGGAATCGTGTAGTAACCAAAAAAGTGTTAAACAAATCAAAATATATTTTAGATTTTAGATTCTTCAAAGTAGCTTGGCAGTCTGGACCTGGGTTTGAGTCGCAGTTTGGGATACCCCCTGGATTTGCTGGTGTCAGAAGTGGGATGGTGGCCGTGGGGCGCTCGGAGAGGCGTGTCCACGTGAGAGAAGCGTGGGGACACGCTCTCCTGAAGGAAGGGGGTAATGTAACAATCTTAACCTAACCTCCTCATCAAGGGGTTGGACCTCTTGGTTAAGGTGTTTGGCTTGACTCCCGAGTGGCGCAGTGGTCTAAGGCACTGCAGTGCTAGCTGTGCCACTAGAGATCCTGGTTCGAGTCCAGGCTCTGTCGTAGCCGGCCGCCACTGGGAGACCCATGGGGCGGAGCACAATTGGTCCAGCGTCGTCCAAGGTAGGGGAGGGTTTGGCCGGCAGGGATGTGGGTTCGTTTCCCACAGGGGGCCAGTATGAAAAAAAACAACAACAAAAAACATGTATGCATTCACTATCTGTAAGTCGCTCTGGATAAGAGCGTCTGCTAAATGACTAAAACGTAAATGTAAATGTTGACAGTCGCTAGCTCCTGTTTACCATTACCCCGTTCAGCGCTACACCCTGAGTTCGCTACAATATCATGAGCTCACCACTTACAAAACAGAGCTGAGAGCTCTCCATGCAGAATGGGGCCCAATCCCATTATCATTTATATCAATAACGCAACAGAAAACTAGTTTAATATTTCTTTTATTGCGACACAAATTCTTGCAGTTTTACCATCTTACCACCAGGGGACGCTGCACCCCCTTCAGCAACAGGAAGCGGACAGCCAGACAGAATTTTGGCCTTAAATGTGAATTTTATCATCCTTACACCAATATTTTTGTGTTTTTTTTCAAACAGGATGAGGTCTACGATGAGATTGACTCGTAAGTCCTTTTTCATCATTTATTGTAAATTCAGAATTAAAAAACTAATGACACCCTATTCCCTATATAGTGCACTACTACCATAGGGCTCTGGTCGAAAGTAGTGCACAGGGGATTAATTAGGGTGCCATTTGAGATTGAATGATTTTGTCTTGCAGAAACTACTACAAATACCTCCAGTACCTGGAGGGGCTGCTGGATATGATGAAGCTACAGATAGACAGCCTGAACGCTGAAGCGAACTTTGACCTTTCCTCCTGCGGCTACACCTCTGCCTCCTGCTCTGGGAGGTCCTCCTGCGGCTACACCTCTGCCTCCTGCTCTGGGAGGTCCTCCTGCGGCTACACCTCTGCCTCCTGCTCTGGGAGGTCCTCCTGCGGCTACACCTCTGGAACTAGATCATATCCTAGATCACATTGTAGACCTTCTGGATCTTCTAGGTCCTCCTCCAGATCTAGTGGTGGTGACTGCAGCACGTGCCGACACTGTAACAAACGGCCTGACAGGTTTAAGTTCCTGGGCGGTAGTCTGGATAGTTCCTACCCATTGGATAGTCTGGATTGCCCTTACCCATTGGATAGCCCCAGCCCATTGGATAGCCCCAGCCCAGTGGGAAGCCCCAGCCCAGTGGGAAGCCCCAGCCCAGTGGGAAGCCCCAGACAACCAGGTAGTCCTAGCCCACTGGCCACGCCAAGGCCCTGTCTCCAGCTACCAGGAGGTGATGAGGGGGCCAGTCCAAGGCCCTGTCTCCAGCTACCAGGAGGTGATGAGGGGGCCAGTCCAAGGCCCTGTCTCCAGCTACCAGGAGGTGATGAGGGGGCCAGTCCAAGGCCCTATCTCCAGCTACCAGGAGGTGATGAGGGGGCCAGTCCAAGGCCCTGTCTCCAGCTACCAGGAGGTGATGAGGGGGACATCAGATACTATGGCTCCACGCAAGCCTCCAACACCTCCTGCCGTTCTCCTCGCCGCTCCTCCGAAAATGCCTCCCGCTGCTCCTCTCCCAGCTCCTCTAAGTACGTGACTCCTTCTGACTCTCGGCTGCCTCTGGAGTACCATCCAAGCCCTCAGCAGCCTGCTATTGGTTACTACGACACGACCAAGATGGAGCACAAAGAGGACGATGTTCCTGTGGTTGCTACACCTGGCTGCAAAGACCGTTACAACCCCACTGACTGCTCCAAGACTCAGACTGCCAACTCTGTAGACCATTCCAAGACTCTGATGACAGTGAGACAGATTAGCACAGTGAGACAGCTGTTTGAGATCATTCCAGGGAAAGATGACCCACCTGTCCTGCACAGCTGGCACCAACGACACCTGGAGGTCAATGTGCAACAGAAGGTTTGTACAAATTACAGTTTAAAATGTCCTTCTGTGTCCCAAATGGTACCTTATCCCCCCATAGGGCTCTGGTCAAATGTAGTGCACTATATATACAGTACCAGTCAAAAGTTAGGACACACCTACTCATTCAAGGGCTTTTCTTTATTTTTACTATTTTTTTTACATTGTAGAATAATAGTGAAGACATCAAAACTATGAAATAACACATATGGAATCATGTAGTAACCAAAAAAGTGTTAAACAAATCTAAATATATTTTATATTTGAGATTCTTCAAATAGCCATCCTTTGCCTTGATGACAGCTTTGCACACTCTTGGCATTCTCTCAACCAGCTTCACCTGGAATGCTTTTCCAACAGTCTTGAAGGAGTTCCCATATACAGTGGTGTGAAAAAGTGTTTGCCCCCTTCCTGATTTCTTATTTGTTTGCATGTTTGTCACACTTAAATGTTTCAGATCAAACACATTTAAATATTAGTCAAAGATAACACAATTAAACACAAAATGCAGTTTTGAAATGAAGTTTGTTATTATTAAGGGAAAACAAAATCCAAACCCACATGGCCCTGTGTGGAAAAGTGATTGCCGCCTACAACCTAATAACTGGTTGAGCCACCCTTAACAGCAACAACTGCAATCAAACGTTTGCGATAACTTGCAATGAGTCTTTTACAGCGCTGTGGAGGAATTTTGGCCCGCACATCTTTGCAGAATTGTTGTAATTCAGCCACATTGGAGGGTTTTCGAGCATGAACTGCCTTTTTAAAGGTCATGCCACAGCATCTCAATAGGATTCAGGTCATGACTTTGACTAGGCCACTCCAAAGTCTTCATTTTGTTTTTCTTCAGCCATTCAGAGGTGGACTTGCTGGTGTGTTTTGGATCATTGTCCTGCAGAACCCAAGTTCACTTCAGCTTGAGGTCACGAACCGATGGTCGGACATTCTCCTTCAGGATTTTTTGGTAGACAACAGAATTCATGGTTCCATTTATCACAGCAAGTCTTCCAGGTCCTGAAGCAGCAAAACAGGCCCAGACCATCACACTACCACCACCATATTTTACTGTTGGTAAATGCGGTGTTATGCGGTGTTACTTTTACGCCAGATGTAATGGGACACACACCTTCCAAAAAGTTCAACTTCAACAGAGTATTTTCCCAAAGGTATTGGGGATCATCAAGAGGGGGGGGCAAACACTTTCACACAGGGCCATGTAGGTTTGGATTTTGTTTTCCCTTAATAATAACAACCTTCATTTCAAAACTGCATTTTGTGTTTACTTGTGTTATCTTTGACTAATATTTAAATTTGTTTGATGATCTGAAACATTTATGTGTGACAAACATGCAAACAAATAACAAATCAGGAAGGGGGCAAACACTTTTTCACACCACTGTATGCTGAGCACTTGTTGGCTGCTTTTCCTTCACTCTGCCGTCCGACTCATCCCAAACCATCTCAATTGGGTTGAGGTCGGGGGATTGTGGAGACCAGGTCATCTGATGCAGCACTCCATCACTCTCCTTCTTGGTCAAATAGCCCTTACACAGCCTGGAGGTGTGTTGGGTCATTGTCCTGTTGAAAAACAAATGATAGTCCCACTAAGCACAAACCAGATGGGATGGCGTATCGCTGCAGAATGCTGTGGTAGCCATGCTGGTTAAGTGTGCCTTGAATTCTAAATAAATCACAGACAGTGTCACCAGCAAAGCACCCCCACACCATAACACCTCCTCCTCCATGCTTTACGGTGGGAAGTACACATGCGGAGATCATCCGTTCACCCACACCGCGTCTCACAAAGACAAGGCGATTGGAACCAAAAATCTCACATTTACACAGGTCTAATGTCCATTGCTCGTGTTTCTTGGCCCAAGCAGGTCTCTTCTTATTATTGGTGTCCTTTAGTAGTGGTTGCTTTGCAATAATTCGACCATGAAGGCCTGATTCACACAGTCCCCTCTGAACAGTTGATGTTGAGATGTGTCTGTGACTTGAACTCTGTGAAGCATTTATTTGGGCTGTAATTTCTGAGGCTGGTAACTCTAATGAACTTATCCTCTGCAGCAGAGGTAACTCTGGGTCTTCCATTCCTGTGGCGGTCCTCAAAAGAGCCATTTTCATCATAGCGCTTGATGGTTTTTGCGACTGCACTTGAAGAAACGTTCAAAGTTCTTGAAATGTTCCGTATTGACTGACCTTCATGTCTTAAAGTAATGATGGACTGTCGTTTCTCTTTGCTTATTTGAGTTGTTCTTACCATAATATGGACTTGGTCTTTTACCAAATAGGGCTATCTTCTGTCACAACACAACTGATTGGCTCAAACGCATTAAGAAGGAAAGAAATTCCACAAATTAACTTTTAACAAGGCACACCTGTTAATTGAAATGCATTCCAAGTAACTACCTCATGAAGCTGGTTGAGAGAATGCCAAGAGTGTGCAAAGCTGTCATCAAGGCAAAGGGTGGCTATTTAAAGAATCTCAAATATAAAATATATTTTGATTTGTTTAACACTTTTTTGGTTACTACATGATTCCATATGTGTTCTTTCATAGTTTTGATGTCTTCACTATTATTCTACAATGTAGAAAATAGTAAAAATAAAGAAAAACCCTTGAATGAGTAGGTGTGTCGAAACCTTTGACTGGTACTGTATATATAGTGCACTACTTTTGACTGGTAGTGTATATATGTTGAGAATAGGGTGCCATTTGGGACCCTGGTGAGGAGTTGTTGGGTTTGGTGGTAATCTGATGTAATCTGATGTAATCTAATCTAAGGTCGCCCATAATGAGAGACTGAAGGGAGGAGGGACCACCACCTCAAACCCGACCTCTACCTCCACCCACCTCGATACCACCCAGTCCACCTCAAACCCGATCACGACCTCAACCACATCACAGGCTAAAACAAGAAGGATCGCAAGGAAAACCACCAGCCTTCCAGCATTCTCCCCACAGCGTGTCAACAACCCTCCTAGTCTCCATGCCAGTCTCCATGCCAGTGGGTCGGAGGGTAAAGGTAAAACCAAGCTTATCAAGTCTTTAGAAGAGTTAACACCACCAAGCTTATCAAGTGTTTAGAAGAGTCAAGTCTCTTATGTCCTTTTTGATGATTGAAGTTACTGCCCCAAAAATCTACACTGTAAAAAAATATAAACTCCTGCACCCACCATTTTCTATTTATTCGTAATTTATTTGTATTTTATTTTCTAAAGGTCAACCAAAGCCGTCCATCCAGATGTACGTGCAGGATGGGGCCCAGATCCCCTTTATCACCCAGGATATCCAGGAGAAGCTGGAGTCCCACGTCCGCCGCAAGCAGAGCCAGCGCCTCTGGGGATTCCCCAAGCTGGTCACCAGGAACGTGGGAGATCACCTTGCCAACCTGGCTGCCCAGGTACCCCCCGCTTCCGGAGACGGCAAGATGGGTAAGATCCCTGGCAAGATCATGGGCAACGTGAGCGACCATGTTGGCCAAGGGCAGCGAAACACAGAGTTGTGTTTCAGGCTGAGTGACAGGACAAGGCCAGGGGAGGAGAGAGAGGAGACCCAGGCTACAAGTCTTGCAGCTACAGCCAAACTCAAGGACAGCTCACCTGCAAACAGCAGGCCTCCCTTCACCACCGCCAGCAGCACCACTACTCCCCAGCCAGGCGAGACCCACGCTACCAGACCCAGCCAATCTCTGGACCAGTCCTCCCTCCAGATGCCCCCGACCCCAGTGACCCCGACCCAGGAGAGACGCCAGCTGGAGATGCATGTGAGGAGGACGTGTCTGGAGGCAAAGCTCAAACCCCTCCCTGGCATGGTGGCAACCAGCCAGACAACCCTTGCCTCGGCAACTAGCCAGCCAACCAGCCAGCCAACCAGCCAGCCAACCAGCCAGCCAACCAGCCAGACAACCCTTGCCTCGGCAACTAGCCAGCCAACCAGCCAGCCAACCAGCCAGCCAACCAGCCAGCCAACCAGCCAGACAACCCTTGCCTCGGCAACTAGCCAGCCAACCAGCCAGCCAACCAGCCAGCCAACCAGCCAGCCAACCAGCCAGCCAACCAGCCAGCCAGTTCTGGAGACCTCGACCGGCACCGACGCTGTCTCAGGACCCCACTCTGCCCCAATACGGCTGTTGTGTTATGACACTGACACTGACAGGCTTTTTGTGTTTACATCATAGATCTACATGGAGTATTTGTTTTGGTACCAGACTATTCAGAACTGATACATTTTCATTAACTAATAAAAAAAATTGCATTTCACATGGTTGACTTTGACTTGTTCTCGTAATCCGTCAGATGTGTCTGTTGATCTATGAATTAAAGGTGCAATTATATTACGTTAAGGTATTTATTGGCATCTTAAGCCAATTCCATATTAAGCTACTAAGCTAACATATGGAATTGTTTTAAGATGGTTATACCATGGATCATTTAGCTATTTGATTTTGAATTTTAGGACTCCTGTAGGTATAAAATATATATATATACAGTGGGGAAAATAAGTATTTAGTCAGCCACCAATTGTGCAAGTTCTCCCACTTAAAAAGATGAGAGAGGCCTGTAATTTTCATCATAGGTACACGTCAACTATGACAGACAAAATGAGAAAAAAAAATCCAGAAAATCACATCGTAGGACTTTTAATGAATTTATTTGCAAATTCTGGTGGAAAATAAGTATTTGGTCAATGACAAAAGTTTCTCAATACTTTGTTATATACCCTTTGTTGGCAATGACACAGGTCAAACGATTTCTGTAAGTCTTCACAAGGTTTTCACACACTGTTGCTGGTATTTTGGCCCATTCCTCCATGCAGATCTCCTCTAGAGCAGTGATGTTTTGGGGCTGTCGCTGGGCAACACAGACTTTCAACTCCCTCCAAAGATTTTCTATGGGGTTGAGATCTGGAGACTGACTAGGCCACTCCAGGACCTTGAAATGCTTCTTACGAAGCCACCCCTTCGTTGCCCGGGCGGTGTGTTTGGGATCATTGTCATGCTGAAAGATCCAGCCACGTTTCATGTTCAATGCCCTTGCTGATGGAAGGAGGTTTTCACTCAAAATCTCACGATACATGGCCCCATTCATTCTTTCCTTTACACGGATCAGTCGTCTTGGTCCCTTTGCAGAAAAACAGCCCCAAAGCATGATGTTTCCACCCCCATGCTTCACAGTAGGTATGGTGTTCTTTGGATGCAATTCAGCATTCTTTGTCCTCCAAACACGACAAGTTGAGTTTTTACCAAAAAGTTATATTTTGGTTTCATCTGACCATATGACATTCTCCCAATCCTCTTCTGGATCATCCAAATGCAGTCTAGCAAACTTCAGACGGGCCTGGACATGTACTGGCTTAAGCAGGGGGACACGTCTGGCACGGCAGGATTTGAGTCCCTGGCGGCGTAGTGTGTTACTGATGGTAGGCTTTGTTACTTTGTTCCCAGCTCTCTGCAGGTCATTCACTAGGTCCCCCTGTGTGGTTCTGGGATTTTTGCTCACAGTTCTTGTGATCATTTTGACCCCACAGGGCGAGATCTTGCGTGGAGCCCCAGATCGAGGGAGATTATCAGTGGTCCATTTCCTAATAATTGCTCCCACAGTTGATTTCTTCAAACCAAGCTGCTTACCTATTGCAGATTCAGTCTTCCCAGCCTGGTGCAGGTCTACAATTTTGTTTCTGGTGTCCTTTGACAGCTCTTTGGTCTTGGCCAAAGTGGAGTTTGGAGTGTGACTGTTTGAGGTTGTGGACAGGTGTCTTTTATACTGATAACAAGTTCAAACAGGTGCCATTAATACAGGTAACGAGTGGAGGACAGAGGAGCCTCTTAAAGAAGAAGTTACAGGTCTGTGAGAGCCAGAAATCTTGCTTGTTTGTAGGTGACCAAATACTTATTTTCCACCATAATTTGCAAATAAATTCATGAAAAATCATACAATGTGATTTTCTGGATTTTTTTTCCTCAATTTGTCTGTCATAGTTGACATGTACCTATGATGAAAATTACAGGCCTCTCTCATCTTTTTAAGTGGAAGAACTTGCACAATTGGTGGCTGACTAAATACTTTTTTCCCCCACTGTATATATATATATATATATATATATATATATATATATATATACATACAAAGTACTTTAAACATATACAGTGTTATTTAAAATATATACAGTGCTATGAAAAAGTATTTGCCCCCTTTCTAATTTTCTCTACTTTTGCATATTTGTGATACTGAATGTTATCAGATCTTCAACCAAAACCTAATATTAGATAAAGGGAACATAAGTGAACAAATAACACAACAATTACATATTTATTTCATAAACAAAGTAATGCAACACCCAATTCCCCTGTGTGAAAAAGTAATTGCCCCCTTGCACTCAATAACTGGTTGTGCCACCTTTAGCTGCAATGACTCCAACCAAATGCTTCCTGTAGTTGTTGATCAGTCTCTCACGTCGCTGTGGAGGAATTTTGGCCCACTCTTCCATGCAGAACTGCTTTAACTCAGTGACGTGTGGGTTTTCAAGCATGCTCGCTCGTCGCCACAACATCTCAATTGGGATTAGGTCTGGACTTTGACTAGGCCATTCCAAAACGTCCAATTTGTTGCTTTTTAGCAATTTTCATGTAGACTTGATTGTGTGTTTTGGATCATTGTCTTGCTGCATGACCCAGCTGCGCTTCAGCTTCAGCTCACAGACGGATGGTCTGACATTCTCCTGTAGAATTCTGTGATACATAGCAGAATTCATGGTTCCTCCTATTAAGGCAAGTCGTCCAGGTCCTGAGGCAGCAAAGCATCCCCAAACCATCACACCACCACCACCATGCTTGACCTTTGGTATGAGGTTCTTACTGTGGAATGCAGTGTTTGGTTTTTGAGTGTAAGGGGGCAATTACACTGTACATTGTACAGATGAACGTGGTACCTTCAGGCGTTTGGAAATTGCTCCCAAGGATGAACCAGACTTGTAGAGGTCTACAATTTTTGTTCTGAGGTCTTGGCTGATTTCTTTTGATTTTCCCATGATGTCAAGCAAAGAGGCACTGGGTTTGAAGGTTGGCCTTGAAATACATCCACAGGTACACCTCCAATTGACTCAAATGATGTCAATTAGCCTATCAGAAGCTTCTAAAGCCATGACATCATTTCCTGGAATTTTCCAAGCTTTTAAAGGCACAGTCAACTTAGTGTATGTAAACTTCTGACCCACTGGAATTGTGATACAGTGAATTACAAGTGAAATAATCTGTCTGTAAACAATTGTTGGAAAAATGACTTGTGTCATTGTCACGATCGTTGAATGGAGTAGACCAAGGCGCAGCGTTATGAGCGAACATACTTTATTATCTTTAGTGATAATACGAACAAAACAATAAACGATGACGTGACGTCCTAGGTTAAACACAACCAACACGGAACAAACCAAACGGAACAAGATCCCACAACACCTGTGGGAACACAGCCTGTCTAAATATGGCTCCCAATCAGAGACAACCAGCAACAGCTGACACTCGTTGCCTCTGATTGGGAACCACTCTGGCCAACATAGAAATACAAAGCTAGACTGTGAACATAGAACAAAAACACATAGAATCTACACACCCTGGCTCAACATATAGAGTCCCCAGAGCCAGGGTGTGACAGTCATGCACCAAGTAGATGTCCTAACCAACTTGCCAAAACTATAGTTTGTTAACAAGACATTTGCGGAGTGGTTGAAAAAACTAGTTTTAATGACTCCAACCAAAGAGGATGTAAACATCCGACTTCAACTGTATATACCCTCAGCCATGGTTCTTTCCCTTTTTCCACAACTTGTTAAGTAACAGCCTTATTCTAAAATGGATTACAGTTTTAATCAATCTACACACAATACCCCGTAATGACAAAGCGAAAACAGGTTTTGAGAAATGTTTGCTAATTTATAAAACAAAACAAAAATATATATATACCTTATTTACATAAGTATTCAGACCGTTTGCTATGAGACTCGAAATTGAGCTCAGGTGCATCCTGTTTCTATTGATCATCCTTGAGATGTTTCTACAACTTGATTGAAGTCCACCTGTGGTCAATTCAGTTGATTGGACATGATTTGGAAAAACACACACCTGTGTCGCAACGCCAGGGTTGTGGGTTCGTTTCCCACGGGGGGGCCAGTATGAAAATGTATGCACTCACTAACTATAAGTCACTCTGGATAAGAGCGTCTGCTAAATGACTAAAATGTAAATGTAAAATTAGGTCACCCAGTTGACAGTGCATGTCAGAGCAAAAACCAAGCCATGAGGTCGAAGGAATTGTCTGTAGAGCTCCGAGACAGGATTGTGTCGAGGCTACAGATCTGGGGAAGGGTACCAAAACATTTCTGTAGCATTGAAGGTCCCCAAGAACACAGTGGCCTCCATCATTCTTAAATGGAAGAAGATTGGAACCACCAAGACTCTTCCTAGAGCTGGCCGCCCGGCCAAACTGAGCAATCGGGGGAGAAGGGCCTTGGTCAGGGAGGTGACCAAGAACCAGATGGTCACTCTGACAGAGCTCCAGAGTTCCTCTGTGGAGATGGGAGAATCTTCCAGAAGGACAACCATCTCTGCAGCTCTCCACCAATCAGGCCTTTATGGTAGAGTGGCAAGACGCAAGCCACTCCTCAGTAAAAGGCACATGATAGCCCGCTTGGAGTTTGCCAAAAGGCACCTAAAGACTCTCAGACCATGAGAACAAGATTCTCTGGTCTGATGAAACCCAGATTGAACTCTTTGGCCTGAATGCCAAGCGTCACGTCTGGAGGAAACCTGGCACCATCCTTACGGTGAAGCATGGGGGTGGCAGCATCATACTGTGGGGATGTTTTTCAGCGGCAAGGACTGGGAGACTAGTCAGGATTGAGGGAAAGATTAACGGAGCAAATTACAGAGAGATCCTTGATGAAAACCTGCTCCAGAGAGCTCAGGACCTCAGACTTAGCCCAGCCAGAGCCCGGACTTGAACCCGATCAAACATCTCTGGAGAGACCTGAAAATAGCTGTGCAGCGATGCTCTCCATCCAGCCTGACAGAGCTTGAGAGGATCTGCAGAGAAGAATGGGAGAAACCCACCAAATACAGGTGTGCCAAGCTTGTAGCGTCATACCCAAGAAGACTGGAGGCTGTAATCCACTGCCAAAGGTGCTTCAACAAAGTACTGAGTAAAGGGTCTCAATACTTATGTAAATGTGATATTTCAGTGTCTTATTTGTAAAACATTTTCAAACATTTCTAAAAACCTGTTTTTGCTTTGTCATTATGGGGTATTGTGTGTAGTTTGATGAGAAAAGACAAACAATTCTATCAATTTTAGAATAAGGCTGTAACGTAACAAAATGTGCAAAAGGTCAAATGTATGTGAAGGGAGGGAGGGTGCTTTTAACCATGACTCTTGCTCTATCCTAAATGGACACCTACCCCCTTAAAGTAGATATTCTCTAGTCCACTCATACAGTCACCTCTGAAATTACTGGCACCCTTGATAAATATTATTATAAAGCAGTGGTTAATTGACCACAAAATCAACATTTAGCAATGGCCATCTCAGTCTCCTGACTTTTATCCCCATTTCAGACCGGTGTGTGTAATAGTCCACAGTAATAATAGGACAAAACAAGTATTTTTCCCCGTCTTGTAGCAGGCATAATATGGGCATCTTATGCTTTCCAATGTTAATGACAATAGATTGTTGATCTACCAGTGGCATGCGTGTCACAGTGTTTACCTTCCGTTTTTACTGTGTTAAAACTGAATTAGAATCCCTCAAAGTTCACTATAATAGGACGAAACAATTATTTTCCCCATCTTCGAGCTGGCATAATATGGGCATGTTATGCTTTCCAAACCTTCGTGACAATGGAGTATCGATCTACTAGTGTTGCACATATGTCACAAAACATCTTTAATCTGTCATAAAATGGGCACCCTCAAAGTTCACTGTAATATAGAAAACAATTGTTTTACCCCATATTTTAAGATGGTCATCACACTGGATTAATGATCTACTACATTGTAGTCATTTAGCAGACGCTCTTATCCAGAGCGACTTACAGTTAGCGAGTGCATACATTATTGTTTTCATACTGTCCACCCGTGGGAATCGAACCCACAACCCTGGCGTTGCAAGCGCCATGCTCTACCAACTGAGCTACACGTCTGCCAGACATTTTCACTGTCAATTATTTTGACATGGGGTCATCAAAGTTCAGTGTAATATAACTATTTAAAAACGATGAAGACAAAGAATGTGGGGATAGACCAAGTAAAAGGTAGTTATTCAACACTCTTAAATGTATCATCTCTAATGAAATACAAAGACAAAGAAAGAAAAACCTATCTAGCTCACTTAGATCCTGCTGTGAAGCTGTGTGTGTTAGTATGTCATGACCGTAAACACATCTTGCTTTCGCAATTTAACATGTGCTAAACAGCACCCACGGTAGGCTACTGCAGCCTCACTCTACCCTTGATATCGAAGTAATATTTGATGAGACACGAAAATAAAATAAATGATTTGGTATAATTTTGATTATGGAAGATTGAATAAGTGTGCTTCAAACTGTTTCAATTATTTGTAGCCATCGTCTCTATCTGCATGAGAGCATCAGACTCAGTTACCCAGAAAACACATGATACCTTTAAAGAGTTGTGTATTCAGGAGGAAACTGAAGAGCGGATGGCTTGACCGCAGTAAAACTGGTGCCTGCTAATTTGGAACTTGTTAGCAAACGTGTAACATTGGCAACTGTAAATCGTTTTACTAGCTAGCTGTGTAACGAGGGTTGACATTGGTTATGATTATGACAGTGGCTGCATTTCAGGCATGACGCAAGATAGGATTCCAAACAGATGTAAATAACAATGATTGGCTATCCAGCAAGCTAACTTTACTAACAACAATACAACCATTTACTGTTGTACGGGCCTCCCGAGTGGCGCCGCAGTCTAACTTTTTCACCGCCCTCTCCGCTTCTCACCGCTTTCCTTCCATTGAAAATGAATGGGAAGCGGTGTTTCACCGCGCGGTACCGCGTGCTTCCCTTCAAAATAAAAGTCCCGCAATGAAGATTGTTAAATTCGTTACATTTTATTAGGAAATGTTAGCAGACTTAGAATTTTGTTTAACAAAATCAAAAAGGAAAATAGTTATAGCCTTAATAGCACAAATAATATTATAGCATTGACAATATTGTTAACAGCATTAAAAGTAATTATTAATAGATAGTTATTATGGTAACAACAGTAATACAAATAACAAAACATTATTTATAATGCTACTATTAATAATAATAGTAATAACAATAGTATTATTATTATTACTAGATAGTTATTATGGTAACAACAGTATGACAAATAACAAAACATTATTTATAACGCTACTATTAATAATATTAGTAATAACAATATTAATAATAATATCATTATAATTATAATAATCAACTTTAGAAAACACATTTAAAACCCATAGTTTTTTTAGCCTGTTCATATTGCATGTTCCGTACGTTTTCATATTGGACATACGTGTTGCACTGTACACAATTTCCTAAAGTATGTGTCGAAGTAAAATAATTTACACCCCAAGCAGCGTCCCTGCACATTTTGCATCCCTTAAATAGCAAGTTTTGCAGATATAGAGTACCACAGTACGAGTCATAATACCCATAAAACCTAGCGGTCAAACAGGGAAATGGTTCCGATCGTTTTTCCACCATTCATCCCCTATGGAAAAAATGAATGGTGGAAAAACGATTGGAACCATTTCCCTGTTTGACTGCTAGGTTTTCGGGTGTTATGACACCTCGACTGTGGGGCTCTATAGCGCCATACACAATTTCCTGTGTCTCAATGTGTCGCAGTGAAAGTGGAGTCCAATGCAAATGTCACTTAAATATTAACAAATATGGATCATTATTAATGTTTAGACCATTTTTCATATATCATGAATAAATATAGGTCAATGACACTAACCTAGCATGCCTAGCTAACTACATGTCCGTTACAATGTTTTTTTCCCCTCAAAGTAAATATTATGTGGGGGAATTTTGTTTTGAACCGGTTCCGCAATTCCGTGACCCGGAAGTACTTTTTTGTATGTTGCTGACGAGAAGCTGGTAAAGAAACCTATCTTAACGTTTTCCTCTCTTGCTCGCTAAATGGTCAACGATTTAAATTGATAATCCTAATTACAAATGTGCTATGGTAAGAGTTATTTGTCTGGTTACATAGCTAGCTAATCATTTCCTTAGCGAATATTTTTTGTTGTTCTGTTTATCTAATACGCTAGCTACCGAAAAGTGTCTGCGACTGTTCTGAATGGATAGCTGGCCAAGGGATGAATATAGCTAACTAACCTAGCATGCCTAGCTAACTACATGTCCGTTACATTGATATGACAGCGTGGATTCATTTGTTTTAGGTAGTCTGAACTAGTGAGACTGCTGTCGACTTCTCCCATACCGCCAGTTGACCGCTCTGCCCCCACCAACACCACCATGTCTACGGGGATGGCCTCAGCACCACTACCGCAGCCTACAAGCAACACAACACAAGGTTTTATGCAACAACAACACCGTTTTTACTAATAGCTAACTGTACTCATTAGTGATGGGACGATTGATAACGGAGCTCCGGCGCTAGTCATGGGAAGTTAGGCTATTTTTACTGACTCGGATCTTTTTGAGTCGTTCAGTCAAAAGAACGAATCGTTTGACTCGTTCCGTTAATTTGTTGTCCAGAGTACATCTCCCCTACCGGCGAACTGTAAAGAGTCATGGATATACAAGCCTCTCGTTCACATGTCCTTCGCAATAGGGGAGATATTGGAGCTGTCATTTGCGACTAAGACTTAAGCAATGTTTACATGTTTACAATTTTCTACATTTGTTGAATGCCTAATTCATACAATTAGATTCATACTTCAGAACATTTGAAAGGTAGCCTGTTTGGTGTGCCAGTAGGTCGCCTAGTGGTTAGAGATCGTTGGTGGCCAGTCAAACCGAAACGGTCGCTGGTTCTAATCCCCAGCCAACATAGGGAAATACATCGCTGAAAAATCTCGCATGTGCACCTTGACAGACAGGCACTTAACCCTATTTGATCTCAGAAAGTCCGCTCTGGATAAGAGGCTCTGCTAATATGACATAAAAAAGTAAATGTCTATTGTTGTGGGCTTTGTCCTATATAGCCTGTGAAAGTTGATGGGCTGAGGTGCAGCAGCATCTCCCTGATAAATTCAACTTTTTAAATATTAAAATATAACATTATTTGTAAAAATGAACACCCACTTCAATATTATAGAAAATAACACTCCTGTATTCTGAACACAATCTTTCTTATGATTTGGCGGCTCCTGTATGAGCGGAGCAAAACACTTGTCAGCAGAGCCGGGAGTCTGTGTATTGGTTGGACTCCCGGAGTTGTGAATCGTTTTGGTGGGTGGCAACGGAAAATAACCCTGCCACAATATAGCCGGCTACACCCAAAAAAAAAACTTTTCACTTTACATCTGGTAAGAAGAGTTCTGATTATACATATGCCTTTGTTGACAGGAAACATTTGATTTGGTGTAGCCGGCTATATTGTGGTAGGGTTATTTTCCGTCGCCGGCCACCAGAACGATTCACAATTCAGGGAGTCTAACCCATACACACACTCCCGATGTTGTGTCCCAAAGCTATATTCATCCTGCTGTAGAATTATTTGCTGCCAGCAGGTCAAACTTTTGACTGGTAGTGTATATCACCAGTAGTACATTTACCGTTAATTCCTATAATTTGTAATCTACGATGTTTGTTACTTTGGTTACGGTAATTTCTGTTAATGCATTCAATATTATTATTATTATTATTATTATTATTATTATTATTATTACAGTTTTACATTTCTCATTGTCGGAGTGGACACATTGTTTGCAGAGTGCACAACCTATGCTACACTTGTGAGAAACAAGTTTTGGTTTATTTCATTCCATCTACGAGTTTTGTCAATTTAGTCAATGTCTTTTGTTTGGAGCGCTCCTGTCAATGTTGAGTAAGGACACGCACACATAGAAGTAGGCCTATAGGCTACCTGGCCTGAACGCAAAGGTAGGGATATAAATGTGCCCATTTGGGGATCTGATAGTATTTATGATTGGCTTAACGCACCACCACTAATGAGCTGTGGAGCTTCTCAAAGTAATGTTTTCTTCACCTCAAACAGCAAGCAAACAAAGTCTGTTTCTACATCCATTGAGAATTACAATAGTTCCTCAATGTATATGAAAAATCTTCCCAGCTCTCTCCCGTTCAATAACCACTCAGCGTGAAAGGAAAAAATGTCATGCTCTGATCCAGTGGAAACGTCATAAAATAGGCCTACATGATTACTTCTTATCAGTGCTTGACTTGGACTGAAATAGGTTCCGGGACTCATTTTGGGTGCTGGTACTGTTTATATTTAGGTGCAGGAGCTCCACAATACTGTTGAACTAATATTCTATAAGAGGAACAGGAGCTCAAGCAGTAGAGAATTTGAGGTGCCGGTACTCCGCTCCGGTGAGCTCCTGCCCAAGTCAAGCACTGCTTATACCTTGCGCAAATAGGATGTGTCTGTTCCGAGCTCACTGGCACAGGAAACTCTGAGGACCCAGAATATTTTATACAATGTTGCAAATTCGCTGGGCCAGACCCAAGTTAATAGTTGATACAATGTTTCTTGTTCGTTGCAGACAGGCCATGCATAGCCAATGTGATTTATAGGATATTTATTTTTATCAGGATCATTTCTACCTGCAGACTGCGATGTTTGTGTTTGTTGGCTTTATGTAGGACATTTTTACATATAGTTGGCAATGGCAATCAAAGTTACTTTTTAGGTTTGTATCATTTTCATTTAGATTTGGATACAATTTTGATTTTATCGGCAACTTCAGGAGAGTAACGGCAGAATCTGCGAAAGCCAGCAGGAGAGGGAGGAGAATGGTTGGTTATCTAGATCTCTGGCTCCCTCTTGAGTCATTTGTGTCTTATTTTATCAAACAGTAAGCTTAAAGCATCAGACAAGCTCAATGTATATAGTTGATTGTATTAAAACTGATAGGGTGTGTCTATTGAAAAATATACATTAAAAAATGTCAACCAATTGATTGGTCGAAAGAACAGACGACTTTAGGTCGACTAAGATCTTTTTTGACAGGGACAGCCCTAAAGTGCTGTTATTGTGAAGTGGAAACGTCTAGGAGCAACAACGGCTCAGCCGCGAAGTGGTAGTCCACACAAGCTCACAGAACGGGACCGCCGAGTGCTGTAGCCCGTAGCGCGTAAACATTGTCTGTCCTCGGTTGCAACACTCACTACCGAGTTCCAAACTGCCTCTGGAAGCAACTTCAGCACAATAACTTTTAGTCGGGAGCTTCATGAAATGGGTTTCCATGGCCAAGCAGCTGCACACAAGCCTAAGATCACCATGTGCAATGCCAAGCGTCGGCTGGAGTGGTTTAAAGCTCGCCGCCATTGGTCTCTTGAGCAGTGGAAACGCTTTCTCTGGAGTGATGAATCACGCTTCGTCGTCTGGCAGTCCGACGCACTAATCTTGGTTTGGTGGATGCCAGTAGAACGCTACCTGCCCCAATGCATAGTACCAACTGTGAAGTTTGGTGGAGGAGGAATAATGGTCTGGGGCTGTTTATCATGGTTCGGGCTAAGCCCCTTAGTTCCAGTGAAGGGAAATCTGAATGCTACAGCATACAATTACATTCTAGACGATTCTGTGCTTCCAACTTTGTGGCAACAGTTTGGGGAAGGCCCTTTCCTGTTTCAGCATGACAATGCCCCCGTGCACACAGCGAGGTCCATACAGAAATGGTTTGTCGAGATCGGTGTGGAAAAACTTGACTGGCCTGCACAGAGCCCTGACCTCAACCCCATCGAACACCTTTGGGATGAATTGGAACGCCGACTGTGAGCCAGGCCTAATCGCCCAACATCAGTGCCCGACCTCACTAATGCTCTTGTGACTGAATGGAAGCAAGTCCCCACAGCAATGTTCCAACATCTAGTGGAAAGCCTTCCCAGAAGAGTGGAGGCTGTTATAGCAGCAAAAGGGGGACCAACTCCATATTAATGCCCATGATTTTGGAATGAGATGTTCGACAAGCTGGTGTCCACATACTTTTGGTCATGTAATGTATCTTTCATATTAACGAGAATACTTTTAAATGACTAAACACCTTTTATAGGGTTAGGGCTCCCACACGGCCATATTTCCATGCTACAGAAAACAGACAGAAGACAGAGGGGACTACCTGTGCTAATTAGCTATCCAGAGGGGACTACCTGTGCTAATTAGCTATCCAGAGGGGACTACCTGTGCTAATTAGCTATCCAGAGGGGACTACCTGTGCTAATTAGCTATCCAGAGGGGACTACCTGTGCTAATTAGCTATCCAGAGGGGACTACCTGTGCTAATTAGCTATCCAGAGGGGACTACCTGTGCTAATTAGCTATCCAGAGGGGACTACCTGTGCTAATTAGCTACCTGCGTCTCCGAACACCTGTGTGTAAACGGAAGACTGAAGCGTGTCGTCGCTGAACAATATTATCGGCTGCAACTGTGTTAAAACAGTGTACAGTAAGTGTGTATTTAGCGTTTTGTGAAATTATTTTGATGTGGTATGAAAGTAGAGGGCTTTGTGTTTCTAGAGCCGTACCTTAATTGAGAATCGATTCACGTTTTAGATGGGAGTATTTGGCTGTTTTGGCTTTCAGAGCCAGTTCGCCTCGACAGAACAAGGTCCTTGGACTGTAAGGAGTAACGTTAAGACTCCTTCAGTCCATTATTGGGCTACCACACTATATGAGCAGGTAGCAACAGATTGTCTCACTCCTGTAGCTACATAGTCTCCATAGGTGGACTGGTTGCCTCCTACATTAACAATGTTCCTAGGTCTGGGATTTCTGAGACTAGTAGCTACAGGATTACTTGTGTGTTTCCTCTCTCCATAGGTCAGAGATTAACCTGCACATTATATGGCTGCCAACGAGTCTACACGGACCCAGACAGCCTGGCCACACACATCAAGGACCATCAGAATCACATTCCCACTCAGTCCCTCCCAGGTAAGCTCATAGAGTACAACACACCTGTGTCTTACAAAACACCTCCTGGATCCTGGAGGAGACACGTTTTTATTGGATCCTGGAGGAGACACGTTTTTATTGGACATTTATTTTGACAGGGAAGAGATCTTGAGACCTACGTCTCTTTTCCAAATTTTTTATTTTATTTTATTTAACCTTTATTTAAAAAAAGTTTTATTTACAATGACGGCCTACCCCGGCCAAACCCGGACGACGCTGGGCCAATTGTGCGCCGCCCTATGGGACTCCCAATCACGGCCGGATTGTGATACAGCCTGGAATCGAACCAGGGGGTGTGTAGTGACGCCTCAAGCACTGAGATGCAGTACCTTAGACCGCTGCGCCACTCAGGAGCCCAAATGAGGTCCCCAAGAACACAGTGGCCTCCATCATATTTGGTAGGCCATCATTGTAAATAAGAATTTGTTCTTAACTGACTTGCCAAGTTAAATAAAGGTAAAATAATACATGGAAGAAGTTTGGAACCACCAAGACTCTTCCTAGAGCTGGCCGCCCGGCCAAACTGAGCAATCGGGGGAGAAGGGCCTTGGTCAGAGAAGTAATAGTAGTAATATGCCATTTAGCAGACGCTTTTATCCAAAGCGACTTACAGTCATGCGTGCATATTTTTTTTTTTTGTGTATGGGTGGTCCCGGGGATCGAACCCACTACCCTGGCGTTACAAGCGCCATGCTCTACCAGCTGATCTACAGAGGACCAAGAACCTGATGGTCACTCTGACAGAGCTCCAGAGTTCCTCTGTGGAGATGGGAGAACCTTCCAGAAGGACAAACATCTCTGCAGCACTCCACCAATCAGGCCTTTATGATAGAGTGGCCAGACGGAAGCCACTCCTCAGTAAAAGGCACATGACAGCCCGCTTGGAGTTTGCCAAAAGGCACCTAAAGACTCTCAGACCATGAGAAACAAGATTCTCTGGTCTGATGAAACCAAGATTGAACTCTTTGGCCTGAATGCCAAGTGTCATGTCTGGAGGAAACCTGGCACCATCCCTACAGTGAAGCATGGTGGTGGCAGCATCATGCTGTGGGGATGTTTTTCAGCGGCAGGGACTGGGAGACTAGTCAGGATCGAGGGAAAGATTAATGGAGCAAAGTACAAAGAGATCCTTGATGATAACCTGCTCCAGAGCACTCAGGACCTCAGACTGGGGCGAAGGTTCACCTTCCAACAGGACAACGACCCTAAGCACACAGCCAAGACAACGCAGGAGTGGCTTTGGGACAAGTCTCTGAATGTCCTTGAGTGGCCCAGCCAGAGCCTGGACTTGAGCCCGGTCGAACATCTCTGGAGAGACCTGAAAATAGCTGTGCAGCGACGCTCCCCATCCAACCTGACAGAGCTTGAGAGGATCTGCAGAGAAGAATAGGAGAAACTCCCCAAATACATGTGTGCCAAGCTTGTAGCGTCATACCCAAGACAACTTGAGGTTGTAATCGCTGCCAACGGTGCTTCAACAAAGTACTGACTAAAGGTTCTGAATACTTATGTAGATGTGATATTTCAAATTTTTATTTTTAATACATTTGCAAAAATGTATAAAAACCTGTTTTTGCTTTGTCATTATGTGGTATTGTGTGAAAATTGATAAGGGGGAAAAAACTATTTAATCCATTTTAGAATAAGGCTGTAACGTAACAAAGTGGAAAAAGTCAAGGGGTCTGAATACTTTCCGAATGCACTGTAGCTATAAAATCTGACTGTAGTTTTGGCACAGCCGGATCAACAGTCGGGCAATAGCATACATAATAGTATCATCCGCATATAGATGAAGTAAAACATTTTTTTTTACAGATTGACCAAAGGTGTTTATATAAATAGTGAAGAGAACAGGTCCCAAAATCGACCCCTGTGGTACACCTTTATGTACTTCAAGAAATTCAGACTTAACCCCATCCGTCACAATGGCCTGACATTTCTTACACAAACAACTGGGCAATGGTCACAAATGTCTTGGGCGAAGACACCAGTAGAAACATATTTCTCTTGTGTATTCGATAAGATAAGATCAATCCGAGAGGACTTTAAAGGATCTCACCAGCTGGGTTAGGTTTAAATCATTACACATGTCTTTTTAGATTGTCTGAAACCTGCATTTCCCATTTCATAATTTAGGTCACCCAGGATAATAACTTCTGATTTAGTAAAAGAAGACATCAAACTACTTAACTCCTCGAGTGCACAAAGGTTAGCTGAGGGAGGACGGTATACCCCTGTAACAGTTCTGAATACATTTTTCCCCCAGACAAAGCCTTAAAGAATAGTAGCTCAAATTTTTTGGCAAGATAAATGATTTTTTATAAAAGTGGCCACTCCACCACCTCTACCCTTTTCTGTCAGCTCTGAACACATGATAACCCTCAATATTAAGAGAGTCCAGAATGTCCCCAGAGATCCAAGTTTCAGTCAATACCAGAATATCCGGATTCGTCTGCATAGCCCAGATCTTGATGTAATCCAGTTTAGGAAATAAGCTCCTAATGTTCAGATGCATCAACCCAAGACCTTTACGATTTTCACATGCAAACTCAAACAAGCTATGTTCAATAGGCGGTTGCAGGCCCTGTCTGATGGTTGATATAGTTGGTATGGCTATAAGATTGCATAGAACTGCACCATTTGGTCCCTATTAGTAATAGAGGAAGGAGAAGAAATTGGAATTACCTTTCCAAGGTTAGCACCACAGGGTCTGAGGCCGCAGCCAATGGCAATATGGGGAACTCTCAGAGTAACCAATGATGGAATGTTATAAACTGACTTACATGGGTTTTGGTTGCTATCGTTCAAAAGTCCAAGCCCTCTACGTGATTTGAATACCGAGGGGGTATTCAAGTTTATGGAATTCACATTTGAACTAAAAGCACTGGATGAGCAGACCACAGTGGGTTCCTGTTTTGAGCTAACAATAGCAGATCTAAGAGTGGAGTTCAAATGAATGGGTACAAGATTACAACTGACAAAAACCATATCTCAGACTGGCCAATAAAAATAAAAGATTAAGATGGGCAGTCTAAATTATGGTTTTTTCTTTGCAACTCTGCCTAGAAGGTCAGCATCCCGGAGTCGCCTCATCACTGTTGACTTTGAGACTGGTGTTTTGCGGGTACTATTTAATGAAGCTGCCAGTTGAGGACCTGTGAGGCGCCTGTTTCTCAAACTAGACATTCTAATGTATTTGTCCTCTTGCTCAGTTGTGCACCGGGGCCTCCCACTCCTCTTTCTATTCTGGTTAGAGCCAGTTTGCGCTGTTCTTTGAAGGGAGTAGTACACAGCGTTGTACGAGATCTTCAGTTTCTTGGCAATGTCTTGCATGGAATAGCCTTCATTTCTCAGAACAAGAATAGACTGACGAGTTTCAGAAGAAAGTTATTTGTTTCTGGCCATTTTGAGCATGTAATCGAACCCACAATTGCTGATGCTCCAGATACTCAACTAGTCTCAAGAAGGCCAGTTTTATTGCTTCTTTAATCAGCACAACAGTTTTCAGCTGTGCTAACATAATTGCAAAAAGGTTTTCTAATGATCAATTAGCCTTTTAAAATGATAAACTTGGATTAGCAAACACAACGTGCCATTGGAACACAGGACTGATGGTTGCTGATAATGGGCCTCTGTACGCCTATGTAGATATTCCATTAAAAGTCAGCCGTTTCCAGCTACAATAGCCATTTACAACATTTAAATGTCTACACTGTATTTCTGATCAATTTGATGTTATTTTAATGGACAAACATTTTGCTTTTCTTTTGAAAACAATGACATTTCTAAGTGAACCCAAACTTTTCAGCGGTAGTGTATATTCCTCAATAAGCTGACAGTTTCCACAATGGAAATTTGTCTGGTCAATATTATTCCCGGAACTGTGCAAACTAGGTGCAGCTCCTACATGGGATGAAACGTTCACCGTCGTCTCTGAAGGTGGTTGCTGATAGTCTGGGAAAAGTCAGTTTCCCCGTATGGCGGAAAGTGGTAGACGCCATTTTTTTGAAAAATTCAGTTAAAATCCAGGTTGGCGAGGAATCAGCTCTTACAGAGTTTGTAAGATCACCACAGTTATAGGCGGTAAGCCAGAACCCAACCACAGACTAGAAACCAGCACTAGGACACACAATAAACACAACCAAAGCACAAAACATGGCCAGCATAACAACAGCAAGGAGAGAGCGGTGACTTACTCAATGTGATTTAAGTGCTGGGGCCCATCAAAACAGCAACGCAACGGAGGCCGTGTTACCACTGTGATAGCCAAGAGAGAAGCACCTTGGAGGGGATGTAGTTTCCAGTACAGGCCGGAGGAAAACCGGGAGGGAGGCAAGCGCTACACTGGGGCCGCGGGAGAGGAGAGGTGAGGAGAGGTGAGGAGAGGTGAGGAGAGGAGAGGAGAGGAGAGGAGAGGGAGAGGAGAGGAGAGGAGAGGAGAGGAGGAGGAGAGGAGAGGAGAGGTGAGGAGAGGTGAGGAGAGGAGAGGAGAGAGGCTACACTGGGCCGCGGGAGAGTCCAAAAGAGTTAATCCAAGTGGAGTTCAAGTTTGGCAGTAAATCCAAAATAACATCCAAGGCACAATGTCAGGTGGAAGGATGAAAGCAGCAGTAGGTAGGTGTCTGATCAGATAATGCCCCAGAGCAGAGGAGGGTGCCCAGGTGTCTGATCAGATAACGCCCCAGAGCAGAGGAGGGTGCCCAGGTGTCTGATCAGATAATGCCCCAGAGCAGAGGAGGGTGCCCAGGTGTCTGATCAGATAATGCCCCAGAGCAGAGGAGGGTGCCCAGGTGTCTGATCAGATAATGCCCCAGAGCAGAGGAGGGTGCCCATGTATATCCAATTAGGCCTCAAACGTTTCAGCTGAACTGTTTTGTATGTCTCCTTAATAAAATACTGTATGCAATTTTGCACTATTGTCCAATGTGTTCACAGCCAGATGAAACAAAGGTAAATGAAGAGAAAAAAAGTGTTTTCAGCTACAAACACTGATCAGACAAAACAATACGTGCTTGCCGCCATCTTGAAAAGTGGGTGTGAAAACTATTTGTATGTGAACTATTTATAAGATACATACTTTATTTTCCCCAAACTCACTTCACTCGCACATAAGAGGGAGGCTTGTGCTACCGTTGCTGGAATAGCGATTTTAAGCTGTTTACACGTCCTAATAATTTGAAAGATTGCTCAGAAAACGAGGTGTTTTAATCAGCGTACGCTCACGTCGATTTTGACCTCACGCTGATTTAAGATAAGCAGAGGAAGGTGATTACATGACTATTTCATACTCTGCCTACTGCCATAATCAGTTTAATATCTAATGAAATGTACTCGCTGTCGCTCTCCCTCCTCTCAGGGAAAGTGTTCCTCTGCTCCTCGACCGGCTGCAACGGCTCCTTCGCCAGCATGCTGCTCCTGATGGAGCATATGAGGCAGCACCACAAACCCAACACATACTTCCTGTAGGTATTTGTGTTTGTGTGTGTACATAGAGATACTCCCATTCTCCAGAAGTTCCTCTGCCAGGTGTTTGATGATTATCTTGTTCCCAATCCATAGATTATTCCCCTCTCTCTCTCTCTCTCTGTCAGGTGTCAGAGTTGTCGCTCCAAGCTACGTTCCTATCGTGCCCTCCTCAAACACCTCCACACCTGTGCCAAGGTGGCCAGGGGCAAGGCCAAGGCTGGCGAGCAGGCAGAGGTCAAGCCTGACCCTGATGCTGACCCTGATGCTGCTGTTCCCATGGCTACAGACCCCTCCAGTACAGACCAGGAGACCCCACAGCAGCAGGAGCCCATGGAGTCCGAACCCTCCCACCTTGTCCCTGGGTCCGCTGGGTCTGACCCCCTCTCTGCCCTGGCTCCCTCCCCTTACCATCCCCCAGAGGATGGATCTCTCCTGAGCCTGGACCCCAACTCGGCCCTGCTCCCTGGGGCTTTCTCCCTCCAGGAGCCTGGTGGTGGGGGGTTGTCAGCCACCCAGCTCACCCATTCCCCAGGCCTCACAGACCAGCCCCAGCTCCCTGAGGGATCCTTTGGCTCCTTCTCTCAGTACCGCCAATCTCCACTGGAAGTCTCTGGGCCTGAGCTACAGCAACAACAGAGGCCCCCCATGCCAGCCCCTCCTGCCCTGCCTTCCTCTCCACCACCCCAGACCTCCACTCCGCCCGGCTCTAACGCTCGCTGGAGGAAGAAAGGTGATCTTATAACAATCAGCTTCTTTGGTTGAATCTCAGGGTTAACTTTGGGGGTTTGGAAATGTTGTCTTTGGGTCGTTCCATTTTGATTTCAATCACTTTTTGACAGCATCCCTTTTGAGGAGCTAGGGGTGCTCAAAGTTGACCCATTTGGATCTCCCACCCTACCTCCCACCCACCCTACCTCCCACCCCTACCTCCCACCCACCCTACCTCCCACCCTACCTCCCACCCACCCTACCTCCCACCCTACCTACCTCCCACCCACCCCACCCCCGACACCTACCCTCCCACCATACCACCCACCCATCCCACCCACCCTAACCTCCCACGCCTACCCGTCGACCACCTCAACACCTAACCCTCCCACCCTAACCTACCACGCCACCCATCCTCCCACCCACCCTAACCACCCACCCTAACCTCCCACCCAACCCAGCCACCCCCCACCCAACCCTCAAACGTACCTCCCCCCCTCCACTACCCTCCCCCCCCTCCACCGACTACCAAAACCAAAACCACCCATCCTCCAAAACCACTAACCCACACAACCCACCCCCCTCCCACCCACCCTACCTCCCCCACCTACCTCCCCCTCCCCCCTCCCTCACCCATACCTCCCTCCCACCCTATAACCTCCCACCCACCTACCCTCCACCCTACCCTCCTCCCACCTCTACCTCCCTCCCACCCTCCTCCCTCCCACCCTACCTCCCACCCCACCCTACCTCCCGCCCCTACCATGAGACATCCATGTTGAGTTTGATATCACTGAAAAGCTTAAAAACAGGGTTGTCAAACTAATTTATAAAGTATTTTTTTTAAAAGTTGTTTAATTTAAGAAAGTTTTTTTTAACCTTTAACATCAATTATCTAAAAACGTGTGAACTAATTTTACATGTTTTATATTTTTATATATAGTGTGTGTGTGTGTGTGGAATGATGTTGTAGTTTAGACCCCATTGTTCGTCCTCTGAGGTGTGTGTTGTTCCTTCCATCGGTTGAGACACAGCATTCTCCTGAATACAGGCTGGGTGTCATTTCAATCATAGAAATGTAATTCATAGAATGGACATATCCCTTCAGACCACTGCATTTAGCTGGTACATCATTTACATTTCAATTGAATTACATTTTTAACTTCTAATCACTACCGCAATGATGGCCGCCGGTCAACCGACCATTGAATGTCAACTTAAATAGGAATGTCTATTGTATTTAACTATATTTAATATAATATATATATTATTTACATTAACTATATTTCTATGATTTCAATAGGTTTCTTACGGAGGATTGACAGTATAAATTAAAGCAACTGATATTCCCATTCAAGTCAACATCTTTATGGTACCATTTGAAAGTTGAAATTTCAATTTTATTCCCGTTTTAGTACATTTATCTGCCTGTACTCTAGAGAATGCTGTGTCTCATCCGATGGTGGGAACAACACAAACACCTCAGATGACGTACAATAGGGTCTAAGCTACATTGTATTTGAAAATGAACAAAAATGTTTTTAGATAATTGACGTTAAAGGTATAAAAATATATATATATACAGTACCAGTCAAAAGTTTGGACACACCTACTCATTAAAGGGTTTTTCTTTATTTTTACAATTTTCTACATTGTAGAATAATAGTGAAGACATCAAAACTATGAAATACCACATATGGAATCATGTAGTAACCAAAAAAGTGTTAAACAAATATTTTATATTTGAGATTCTTCAAGTAGCCACCCTTTGCCTTGATGACAGCTTTGCACACTCTTGGCATTCTCTCAACCATCTTCACCTGGAATGCTTTTCCAACAGTCTTGAAGGAGTTCCCACATATGCTGAGCACTTGTTGGCTGCTTTTCCTTCACTCTGCCGTCCGACTCATCCCAAACCATCTCAACTGTGTTGAGGTCGGGGGATTGTGGAGGCCAGGTCATCAGATGCAGCACTCCATCACTCTCCTTCTTGGTCAAATAGCCCTTACACAGCCTGGAGGTGTGTTGGGTCATTGTCCTGTTGAAAAACAAATGATAGTCCCACTAAGCCCAAACCAGATGGGATGGCATATCGCTGCAGAATGCTGTGGTAGCCATGCTGGTTAAGTGTGCCTTGAATTCTAAATAAATCCCAGACGGTGTCACCAGCAAAGCACCCCCACACCATAACACCTCCTCCTCCATGCTTTACGGTGGGAACTACACATGCAGAGATCATCCGTTCACCTACTCAGTGTCTCACAAAGACACGGCGTTTGGAACCAAAAATCTCAAATTTGGACTCATCAGACCAAAGGACAAATTTCCACTGGTCTAATGTCCATTGCTTATGTTTCTTGGCCCAAGCAAGTCTCTTCTTCTTATTGGTGTCCTTTAGTAGTGGTTTCTTTGCAGCAATTCGACGATGAAGGCCTGATTCACACAGTCCCCTCTGAACAGTTGATGTTGAGATGTGTCTGTTACTTGACCTCTGTGAAGCATTTATTTGGGCTGCAATCTGAGGCTGGTAACTCTAATGAACTTATCCTCTGCAGCAGAGGTAACTCTGGGTCTTCCATTCCTGTGGTGGTCCTCATGAGAGCCAGTTTCATCATAGTGCTTGATGGTTTTCACGACTGCACTTGAAGAAACTTTCAAAGTGCTTGAAATGTTCCGTATTGACTGACCTTGTGTCTTAAAGTAATGATGGACTGTAATTTCTCTTTGCTTATTTGAGCTGTTCTTGACATAATATGGACCTGGTCTTTTACCAAATACGGCTATCTTCTGTATACCCCCCCGACCTTGTCACAACACAACTGATTGGCTCAAAAGCATTAAGAAGGAAAGAAATTCCACAAATTAATTTTTAACAAGGTACACCTGTTAATTGAAATGCGTTCTAGGTGACTACCTCATGAAGCTGGTTGAGAGAATGCCAAGAGTGTGCAAAGCTGTCATCAAGGCAAAGGGTGGCTACTTTGAAGAATCGCAAATATATTTTGATTTGTTTAACACAGTTTTGGTTACTACATGATTCCATATGTGTTATTTCATAGTTTTGATGTCTTCACTATTATTGTACAATGTAGAAAATTGTAAAGAATTTTTTAGAAAAACCCTTGAATGAATAGGTGTGTCAACTTTTGACTGGTAGTGTATATATTAAATGACTCAATAGTCGACTGCAACGACCATAGGAGTTGGGCTATACAGCACAAGCAGAGCTGGGACCACCAGGCTAGTCCTGTTGTCCTGTTGGACATCCCTGGATGAAACAGACAGACACACACGTGCTGATTGCAGTGAGGAGTCTCTAGCCAGACAGACGTGCTGATTGCAGTCAGGAGTCTCGAGCCAGACAGACGTGCTGATTGAAGTGAGGAGTCTCGAGCCAGACAGACGTGCTGATTGCAGTGAGGAGTCTCGAGCCAGACAGACGTGCTGATTGCAGTCAGGAGTCTCGAGCCAGACAGACGTGCTGATTGCAGTCAGGAGTCTCGAGCCAGACAGACGTGCTGATTGCAGTCAGGAGTCTCGAGCCAGACAGACGTGCTGATTGCAGTCAGGAGTCTCGAGCCAGACAGACGTGCTGATTGCAGTCAGGAGTCTCGAGCCAGACAGACGTGCTGATTGCAGTCAGGAGTCTCGAGCCAGACAGACGTGCTGATTGCAGTCAGGAGTCTCGAGCCAGACAGACGTGCTGATTGCAGTGAGGAGTCTCGAGCCAGACAGACGTGCTGATTGCAGTCAGGAGTCTCGAGCCAGACAGACGTGCTGATTGCAGTGAGGAGTCTCGAGCCAGACAGACGTGCTGATTGCAGTGAGGAGTCTCGAGCCAGACAGACGTGCTGATTGCAGTGAGGAGTCTCGAGCCAGACAGACGTGCTGATTGCAGTCAGGAGTCTCGAGCCAGACAGACGTGCTGATTGCAGTCAGGAGTTTCTAGCCAGACAGACTTGCTGATTGCAGCAATGAGTGAGTGAACTGTGTTTTGTCATGTTGCACTGTCCTGCCAGAAGCTCAGAGGTCTCTAAGTCACAGATGGACCTCTCCTCCAGCCAGTCACAGGTTAACTAGAGATGGAGCACAGGTGAGACCTGGAGAAATCACTAACCACACAACTAGAGGGAGAAACAACTAACCACACAACTAGAGGGAGAAACCACTAACCACACAACTAGAGGGAGAAACAACTAACCACACAACTAGAGGGAGAAACCACTAACCACACAACTAGAGGGAGAAACCACTAACCAACCACACAACTAGAGGGAGAAACCACTAACCACACACACAACTAGAGGGAGAAACCACTAACCACACAACTAGAGGGAGAAACAACTAACCACACAACTAGAGGGAGAAACCACTAACCACACAACTAGAGGGAGAAACCACTAACCACACACACAACTAGAGGGAGAAACCACTAACCACACAACTAGAGGGAGAAACCACTAACCACACAACTAGAGGGAGAAACCACTAACACACACACAACTAGAGGGGAAGAAACCACTACTAACCACACAACTCGAGGGAGAAACCACTAACCACACAACTAGAGGGAGGAAACCACTAATACCACACACAACTAGAGGGCGAAACCACTAACCACACAACTGAGGGAGAAACCACCTATCCACACAAACTAGAGGGAGAACCACTAACCACACAACTAGAGGGAGAAACCACTAAACCACACAACTAGGAGGGAGAAACCACCTAACCAACCACACAACTAGAGGGAGAAAACCAACCTACACACAAAACTAGAGGGGGAAACCACTAACCACACACACTCGAGGGAGAAACAATAAACAACCACAGGAAACTAGGGAAATCCACTAACCACACACAACTAGAGGGGCAGAAACCACTACCACACAACTAGAGTTTTCTTTGGAGAAACCAACTAACCCACACACAACTAGAGGGAGAAACACTTAACCACACCAACTAGAGGGAGAAACCACTAACCACACAACAACTAGAGGGCGAAGAAACCCCACTAACCCACACCAACTAGGGGAGAAACCACTAAACCACACAACTAGAGGGAGAACCACTAACCACCACACACAACTAGAGGGAGAAACCACTAACCACACAACTAGAGGGAGAAACCACTAACCACACACAACTAGAGGGAGAAACCACTAACCACACAACTAGAGGGAGAAACCACTAACCACACAACTAGAGGGAGAAAACCCACTAGCCACAGCCACACAACTAGAGGGAGAAACCACTAACCACACAACTAGAGGGAGAAACCACTAACCACACAACTAGAGGGAGAAACCACTAACCACACACACAACTAGAGGGAGAAACCACTAACCACACACACAACTAGAGGGAGAAACCACTAACCACACAACTAGAGGGAGAAACCACTAACCACACAACTAGAGGGAGAAACCACTAACCACACAACTAGAGGGAGAAACCACTAACCACACAACTAGAGGGAGAAACCACTAAACTAAACTGCCCTTGGGTCATGTCCAATGGAATTATCCTGCTTCTTTCTCCAATGCTAACCTTCTGCATTATTGGCTTCCTCCTCCTTCCCTTCCTGCTAACCTGGCTTCCCTCCCTCTTCCCCGGGCTAACCAATCACCTAATAACCAATCACCTAATAACCAATCACCTAATCGATCCATCATGTGGCTGATTGTTCAACCTGTCCAACTCCCAGATTCACTCAAACAGCCAGGTATTTGACGCTTTCACCAGCAGGGTTATTAACCTCTAAAAGTATAAGACTATATACAACTATAGCCTATAGAAACATTATAACACATTCAGAAATGGCAAAAAAGTAAGTAAAAAAATTAATCATAAGGAATAAGGTTTTGAAGTGTCTGTCCTATATCTAGGAGATATAAGAAAATCTCAGGATATTTTTGGGGGGGTTTTTTGGACACATAATTAAGCCCTTATTTTTGTTGGCACAAAACGACCTCCATACTTCCATTTGTTAGTATGGGTTACCTTCAGACGAGTCCTGTGACACTTGTGGGTTTGTAGGCCAAACCGTTCGGACCCTACAGACGTTTTTATGAGAAGACAGGGTCTGACTATCTCCACTCTAGCCCTTCCACCTTCCACCGCAGATGCGGAAGGCCGGGTTGGGGTTCCCTCTCACAGTCAGGTCTTGATGCTTTCACCAGCAGAGAGAGAGTTAACTACCATTCAGATGACTGGGTGGGGTTCAGTAGGGCAAAACGTAGCAAAACCTTTTCCTACAAAACATGCAGATGAGTGTTCTTCACCATATCATAGTACTACCTCCCGTTCCAAGCTCAAATAAAATAAAATTGTATTTGTCACATGGTCCGAATACAACAGGTGGAGACCTTACCTTGAAATGCTTACTTACAAGCCCTTAACCAATAATGCAGTTCAAGAAATAGAGTTAAGAAAATATTTACTAAATAAACGAAAGTAAAAAATAAAATAAAAAGTAACACAAAATACAAAAACGAGGCTATAAACAGGGGGTACTGTTCCCGAGTCAATGTGCGGGGGGTACAGGTTAGTCCAGGTAATTTGTACATGCTCTCGATGGTGCAGTTGTATAACTTTTTGAGGATCTGGGGACCCATGCCCAATCTTTTCAGTCTCCTGAGGGGGAAAAGGTGTTGTCGTGCCCTCTTCACGACTGTCTTGGTGTGTTTGGACCATGATAGTTCGTTGGTGATGTGGACACCAAGGAACTTGAAACTCGACCCGCTCCACTACAGCCCTGTCGATGTTAATAGGGGCTTGTTCGGCCCTCCTTTTCCTGTAGTCCACGATCAGCTCCTTTGTCTTGCTCACGTTGAGGGAGAGGTTGTTATCCTGGCACCACACTGCCAGGTCTCTGACCTCCTCCCTATAGGCTGTCTCATCGTTGTCGGTGATCATGCCTACCACTGTTGGGTCGTCAGCAAACTTAATGATGGTGTTGGAGTCGTGCCTGGCCATGCAGTCATGGGTGAACAGGGAGTACAGGAGGGGACTAAGCAGTTGGTCGGTGCATGCTCTGAGTACACGTCCTGGTAATCCGTCTGGCCCCGCGGCCTTGTGAATGTTGACCTGTTTAAAGGTTTTGCTCACATCGGCTACGGAGAGCGTGATCACAGAGTCGTCCGGAACAACTGGTGCTCTCATGCATGCTTCAGTGTTGCTTGCCTCGAAGCGAGCATAAAAGGCATTTAGCCCGTCTGGTAGGCTCGAGTCACTGGGCAGCTCGCGGCTGGGTTTCCCTTTGTAGTCCGTAATCATTTGCAAGCCCTGCCACATCCGACGAGCATCAGAGCCGGTGTAGTACGATTCAATCTTAGTCCTGTATTGACTCTTTGCCTGTTTGATGGTTAATCTGAGGGCATAGCGGGATTTCTTATAAGCGTCCGGGTTAGAGTCCCGCTCCTCTAGCCTTTAGCTCGGTGCGGATGTTGCCTGTAATCCATGGCTTCTGGTTGGGATATGTACGTACGGTCACTGTGGGGACGACATCATCGATGCACTTATTGATGTAGCAGGTGACTGAGGTGGTATACTCCTCAAAGCCATTGGATGAATCCCGGAACATATTCCAGTCTGTGCTAGCAAAACAGTCCTGTAGCGTAGCACTAGCATCATCTGACCACTTCTGTATTGAGCGAGTCACTGGTACTTCCTGCTTTAGTTTTTGCTTGTAAGCAGGAATCAGGAGGAGAGAATTATGGTCAGATTTTCCAAATGGAGTGCGAGGCAGAGCTTTGTACGCGTCTCTGTGTGTGGAGTAAAGGTGGTCTAGAGTTTTTTTTCCTCTGGTTGCACATGTGACATGCTGGTAGAAATTAGGTAAAACGGATTTAAGTTTCCCTGCATTAAAGTCCCCGGCCACTAGGAGCGCCGCCTCTGGATGAGCATTTTCTTGTTTGCTTATGGCCTTATACAGCTCGTTGAGTGCGGTCTTAGTGCCAGCATCGGTTTGTGGTGGTAAATAGACAGCTAGGAATAATATAGATGAAAACTTTCTTGGTAGATAGTGGGTCTACAGCTTATCATGAGATACTCTACCTCAGGCGAGCAATATCTCGAGACTTCCTTAATATTAGACATCGCGCACCAGCTGTTATTCACAAATAGACACACACCCCCGCCCCACGTCTTACCAGACGTAGCTGCTCTGTCCTGCCGATGCTCGGAAAACCCAGCCAGCTCTATATTATCCGTGTCGTCGTTCAGCCACGACTCGGTGAAACATAAGATATTACAGTTTTGTCCTGTTGGTAGGATAATCTCGAGCGGAGATCATCCAGTTTATTCTCCAGTGATTGCACGTTGGCCAATAGAACGGATGGTAGAGGCGGGTTACCCACTCGCCGACCAATTCTCACAAGGCACCCCGATCTCCGCCCCCTGTATTTCCGTCTTGTCTTTCACGCGAATGACGGGGATTTGGGCCTGGTCTCGGAGAAGCAGTATATCCTTTGCGTCGGACTCATTAAATAAAAAATATTTTTGTCCAGTTCAAGGTGAATAATCGCTGTTCTGATGTCCAGAAGCTCTTTTCGGTCATAAGAGACAGTAGCAGCAACATTATATACAAAATAAGTAACAAACAATGCGAAAAGAACACACAAAATAGCACAGTTGGTTTGGAGCCCGTAAAACGGCAGTCATTCCCTCCGGCGCCATTATCAGTTTCCTTCATCTGGTGCTGAACAGGACCCGGTCTGTGCACAAGCTCCAACTTCCTTTAGTAGAGGTCTGTGGTGTGAAGAGCTGTCGGTTCATTATGGCTTTCAGTAATACAGGGCTGAGGGCTCGTGGCTTTGCTGTGTCTGGCTGCCTTCACTTCTATGTTGATTCACCAGCTTCCACTTGGTCCATAACCTTGTGCTGGGTATACATGCTTTGACCCTACATCAATCTGAAACCACTAGCCAATGTATTAATGATATGGGCCCAATCCCAAATGGACCCCTAGACCCTACCCCTTATGCACTTGCGGGGATGTGAGAGGATTTGATTGGTGTAAGCAATATGGTGAAACTGTCAAGAGGGCATATTGGAGCTGTTATCAGATTGCTTACACCTTTCACACCCTCAGATCTCCACAAGTGCGTAGGGTCTAGGAGTCGATTTGGGATTGGACCATGGCGAAAGTACTGTGAGTAACCCCTGCTCCTCCACCCTCCAGGTCAGTCCTTCAACAGCCGTATTCTATGGAAACACACCAGGGGGCGCTACAGCTGTGTCCAGTGTGGCCACGCCACCCCCAACAGGAAGGAGATGACCGCCCACATCAAGGGCCAACACAAGAGCCCTGCAGCCAAGCCTGGTAACAATGTCTATATTATAGCCTGGTAACGACACAGGTACCAATGTCTATATTATAGCCTGGTAACGACACAGGTACCAATGTCTATATTATAGCCTCTGTATTGTCTAGTAAATCCCACTAATGTCTATGCTGTAACATTGATTTAAGGGTTAATAAGGACTCAATATGATTGGTCGGTCTCACTGAATCCTCTCTTGATTCTAGATGTCCATGAGGCCTCTCCGTCATCAGATAGAGGCCACACCCACCTCTGATTCTACCCCCACCGGAGTGGAAACGCCAGAGGACAGTTTCATAATACGATGTTATACTATAGTGGAACTAGCTTCATAGAAATGTAAACTATTGAGAAATCAGCTTTTATTTTTACTGTGAAAGTGATGCATTTCAATAAAACATATTCAAAACAAATATAACTTGACCAAAGGTAATGGTATTCGAGTTTATGTGCAGAAAATGTTTTGACAAGGATTTAGAAAACATGATCACACACACACACACCTTCATAACAACCACCTCGGTGCGTACACAAATTATAGTTCCGACGTTGATTGTTGAAAATTCACACGCCAAGTTGTCAACTAACAGTATCTGCTGCAGCAAGCTAAAGCAATGGTGATATTAGATAAGCCTCAACTGAAGACATGACCATCAGAACCTCGTTCCACTTCCCCTTAAAGCAGAGTTCTAGTCCTGATATTAACTCAATCCCACAGGGCTCTGGTCAAAAGTAGTGTCCTCAGTCGACTTCAACTACCGCTCCTTACAAGTAGCATAAAGCAGCCGTTAGAAAATAAAATATACACTTTTTATATTGACAATATCGTGTTAAATAAAGGGTAATATGCATTATACTACAGACGCCCCACTGCTAATATCCAACGACGGGGAGGCAGAGTGAGTCTTCAAATGTCTCTTCAGGTGATTTAGACAGGTGTACGTCTTAGAACAGAGATGACAGGGGTACGGTCTCACCCCAGTGTGGTTCAGGACGTGTTTCTTCAACTCCGCACCGCGAGAGAACGCCTTTCCACACTCGTGGCAGACGTAGGGCCGTACCCCCGTATGAACCCGCATGTGGAGAGTCACCTTGCTAGCCATGGTGAAGCCTTTCTCGCAGACGGTGCACTTGTACGGTCTCTCCCCGGTGTGTGTTCTCCTGTGGATCTGCAGCTCTCCCGCAGAGCAGAAAGTCTTGCCGCAGTCGGAGCAGAGGAAAGGTTTCTCCCCCGTGTGTGTTCTGATGTGTATGGTCAGGTTTCCGTTCACAGAGAACCGCTTGGCGCAGTAGGTGCACTGGTACGGCCTCTCGCCGGTGTGGGTCCGCATGTGGAGCTTCAGGTCTCCTTTGCATCTGAAGGCCTTTCCACAGCTGGGGCAGATCTTGGACCTCTCTTGGGAGTGACGCTGCTCGTGGTTATTTAGCCAGACCTAAAATTAAATGAACTCATTTTATTAGCCATTAAAAAAATACATAGTGGTCTCAGACATCTTAGTACAACAATACACACATCATTTTGTTTTGTCTGTAGAATCGGGGACCATGGAAACATGTTATCCCCTGGATTATACCAATCAATACAGCACCTGGGAGCTGAAGCCCTTTCCACACTGTTTACACTTGTAGGGCTTCTCTTCTCCGTCATGGGCCTTCTGGTGGGCCCTGAGCTCGGCCACGCCAGGGAACGGCCCCTCACCACAGCACCTGACAATACATTAGGGTTAGCAGATTGTCTGTGTGCTAAATGACAGCCTATTCTCTATATAGGGCTCTGGTCAAAACTAGTGCACTGAATAGGGTGTGATTTGGGACGCAGGTTATTGACCGTTTGCCTTACAGGACAGAGAACCTTCTGGAGGGCAGGGGGACTGTGGAAGTGATTGAAAAACATTGACATTGTGTACTCACAGATAGGGCATCCCAAATGGCTCTCTATACAGTGCACTTTTGACCAAAACCCTATTGGCCCCGGTCAAAACTAGTGCACTATATAGGGAATAGGGTGCCATTTGGGATGCAACTACAGTGGGGGAAAAAAGTATTTAGTCAGCCACCAATTGTGCCCACTTAAAAAGATGAGAGAGGCCTGTCATTTTCATCATAGGTACACGTCAACTATGACAGACAAATTGAGAAAGAACATTCCAGAAAATCACATTGTAGGATTTTTTATGAATTTATTTGCAAATTATGGTGGAAAATAAGTATTTGGTCACCTACAAACAAGCAAGATTTCTGGCTCTCACAGACCTGTAACTTCTTCTTTAAGAGGCTCCTCTGTCCTCCACTCGTTACCTGTATTAATGGCACCTGTTTGAACTTGTTATCAGTATAAAAGACACCTGTCCACAACCTCAAACAGTCACACTCCAAACTTCACTATGGTCAAGACCAAAGAGCTGTCAAAGGACACCAGAAACAAAATTGTAGACCTGCACCAGGCTGGGAAGACTGAATCTGCAATAGGTAAGCAGCTTGGTTTGAAGAAATCAACTGTGGGAGCAATTATTAGGAAATGGAAGACATACAAGACCACTGATAATCTCCCTCGATCTGGGGCTCCACGCAAGATCTCACCCCGTGGGGTCAAAATGATCACAAGAACGGTGAGCAAAAATCCCAGAACCACACGGGGGGACCTAGTGAATGACCTGCAGAGAGCTGGGAACAAAGTAACAAAGCCTACCATCAGTAACACACTACGCCGCCAGGGACTCAAATCCTGCAGTGCCAGACGTGTCCCCCTGCTTAAGCCAGTACATGTCCAGGCCCGTCTGAAGTTTGCTAGAGTGCATTTGGATGATCCAGAAGAGGATTGGGAGAATGTCATATGGTCAGATGAAACCAAAATATAACTTTTTGGTAAAAACTCAACTCATCGTGTTTGGAGGACAAAGAATGCTGAGTTGCATCCAAAGAACACCATACCTACTGTGAAGCATGGGGGTGGAAACATCATGCTTTGGGGCTGTTTTTCTGCAAAGGGACCAGGACGACTGATCCGTGTAAAGGAAAGAATGAATGGGGCCATGTATCGTGAGATTGAGAGTGAAAACCTCCTTCCATCAGCAAGGGCATTGAAGATGAAACGTGGCTGGGTCTTTCAGCATGACAATGATCCCAAACACACCGCCCGGGCAACGAAGGAGTGGCTTCGTAAGAAGCATTTCAAGGTCCTGGAGTGGCCTAGCCAGTCTCCAGATCTCAACCCCATAGAAAATCTTTGGAGGGAGTTGAAAGTCTGTGTTGCCCAGCGACAGCCCCAAAACATCACTGCTCTAGAGGAGATCTGCATGGAGGAATGGGCCAAAATACCAGCAACAGTGTGTGAAAACCTTGTGAAGACTTACAGAAAACGTTTGACCTGTGTCATTGCCAACAAAGGGTATATAACAAAGTATTGAGAAACTTTTGTTATTGACCAAATACTTATTTTCCACCATAATTTGCAAATAAATTCATTAAAAATCCTACAATGTGATTTTCTGGAATTTCTTTTCTCATTTTGTCTGTCATAGTTGACGTGTACCTATGATGAAAATTACAGGCCTCTCTCATCTTTTTAAGTGGGAGAACTTGGACCATTGGTGGCTGACTAAATACTCCCCCCCCCACTGTACATACAGCAAGTGTAGCAGTATAATATACCTGCAATTGAAGACCTTGTCACTGGTGTGGGTTACCAGGTGTTTCTTTAACGAGTTGTGCCACTTGAAGATCTTCCCACACTGTGGACACTCAAACTGACCTGCCTGACCCAAACTGCTGGCCCGCCTGCTACCACTACAGCGGTGGCTGACCCGCTCCCTGATCGACCCAAAACTGCTCCCACATTTGATACAGACGTAGGCCGCGTTGGAGCACTGTGTCCGGCGGTGGGTGGACATCTCCGAGGACCTTCTGAAGGTCTTGCCACACTGGGAACACTTGTAAGGGTTCTCCCCTGTGTGGAGTCTCTGGTGCTCCAGCATCTCGTAGAGGTAGATGAAACAACGGCCACAATGGGGACACTTATGGGCAACGCGGCGCCGAGGCTGCTCCGACGATACGCTGGAGGCGGCAGGGCTGGATGTTGTGGAGGACGATGCAGCAGCTTGTTGGCTGGCTGATGGGGCCGTGTCTTGTTCAGCAGTCTGGGGAGCAGTGTTGGAGATCAGGGAGTATTGGTGCTCAGAGACTGATGCTTTTCTTTCTTCCTCAGACTTCGATCGTACACTTTGTCTCTCCACACAGACCTTCTGGTTAGCCTTTCTTTCAGATCCTTGGTTTTCTACTGAATCTGTTCCAATCTTGTTATCCATACTTGCTTCTGTCTCAGCCCATTGGCCACTCAAACTGTCAGTCATAATCTCCTGGTAGTCTCTGACCTGCAGGGGCGGGCTGTCACAGTCAGGGAAAGCTTCTGATTTGCTGGCGCTGGGGCGCGAGGCATTGGCCAGTCTCAGAGAGGGAGGGAAGGATAAGGAGATGAGGAGGCGGTCCTCTGTCCGTGAGGGAGCTGAACAGTGACAACCAGGACCAATGGAAAGAAGATGGTTATTGGATTATTAAAGTTATATGGCATTATATTTCATCTACAGAGTGTCAGACAGAAGATGCATCCCAAACAGCACCCTTTTCCCTATATAGTGCACTACTTCAAACCGGAACCCCATGGGCCCTGGTCTAAAGTAGAGCATTCTAAAGGGAATAGGGTACCATTTGGGGTGCAGCCAGAGGCTTACCGCTCTTGGGCAGCTTCCCGTGGCAGTGTTGGTTCTGTAGCAGAGACTTCAGGTCCTCTCCGTGAGAGACACAGCGCATGTACTCCTCCAGAACAGAGGGGGCAGCACTGATCAACGACGCAGTCTGAACACAGAACGGTGGTAAAAATGACACTAATATTACGAAGAAATACACCAGTAGTCATTCTTCTACCACCTACACCAGTAGTCATTCTTCTACCACCTACACCAGTAGTCATTCTACCACCTACACCAGTAGTCATTCTTCTACCACCTACACCAGTAGTCATTCTTCTACCACCTACACCAGTAGTCATTCTTCTACCACCTACACCAGTAGTCATTCTTCTACCACCTACACCAGTAGTCATTCTTCTACCACCTACACCAGTAGTCATTCTTCTACCACCTACACCAGTTAGTCATTCTTCTACCACCTACACCAGTAGTCATTCTTCTACCACCTACACCAGTAGTCATTCTACCACCTACACCAGTAGTCATTCTTCTACCTACACCAGTAGTCATTCTACCACCTACACAAGTAGTCATTCTTCTACCACCTACACCAGTAGTCATTCTTCTACCACCTACACCAGTAGTCATTCTACCACCTACACCAGTAGTCATTCTTCTACCACCTACACCAGTAGTCATTCTTCTACCACCTACACCAGTAGTCATTCTTCTACCACCTACACCAGTAGTCATTCTTCTACCACCTACACCAGTAGTCATTCTACCACCTACACCAGTAGTCATTCTTCTACCACCTACACCAGTAGTCATTCTATCACCTACACCAGTAGTCATTCTACCACCTACACCAGTAGTCATTCTTCTACCACCTACACCAGTAGTCATTCTTCTACCACCTACACCAGTAGTCATTCTACCACCTACACCAGTAGTCATTCTTCTACCACCTACACCAGTAGTCATTCTACCACCTACACCAGTAGTCATTCCCCTCCTCCTGAGAATATCATCATACTAGGCTCCTCCTCCTGAGAATATAATCATACTAGGCTCCTCCTCCTGAGAATATCATCATACTAGGCTCCTCCTCCTGAGAATATCATCATACTAGGCTCCTCCTACTGAGAATGCGTAATCTAATGCGCGTTGATTCCTGCCATTTGTTCATTTTGGTACAGCGCCTCCCCTTATCTCATTATCAGTCTGGAAAGATGCATGTTCCTCAGTAGTGAATTCTAGTGGATGAAGAGCAGCATTTAAACCATACTCGATTTTAGAAAATGCACATACTATAAAAAACTTTATATTTTCGCATACCTAAAATGCCTACTATTTAGAACACAAGTATGGGTATTCTGACACCGTCACAGTGCTGTCTGACTGGTACCTGTTTGAAGTCTGGGACAGGCAGCAGCTCCTCCAGTCTAGACAGGAAGTGGCACACCAGAGTCTGCAGCGATGAGTCAAAGCTAGGACCGTACTCCACCGGGAACACAACCTGTTGTAGAAGGCAGTCAAAGTTAGGACCTCAGTTAGAAATACTTTAAAGATCCCCAAGGGGAAATAAGTCTCAACCCAACACAACCATAGTGAAGGGGAAGAGAGTCTTGATCTCTGTTCCAATACTTTAAAACTGCATCCTGCCTTGAGATTAAAACACTCATCTCTAGCTACATGATCTGAGAAGTCCATCCTGATAAGTCAACATGGAAGTTAGGAGCCCTGTTAGAGTTGAGCCGCCTTGCGTTTCCTCCTATCTGGGTCTTCCACTAGGCTCCATCTTACCTTGAAGAAGTGTTCCCTCCTATCTGGGTCTTCCACTAGGCTCCATCTTACCTTGAAGAAGTGTTCCCTCCTATCTGGGTCTTCCACTAGGCTCTGGATCAGGTTCAGGAAGTTGGCTTCAGCAAATTCAATCGCTGCATCGTTTGACTGCAACACATAAGGGTCCAGACAAACATCACAAGCTGAACACAGTGGTGGTTCCCTGGACACAGACTGAGCCTAGCCCTGGACTACAAAGCTCAAAATGGAGGATCTCATTTGATAATTAGCTTTTTAGTCCAAAGCTTTCTGTGTCCAGGGAACTGACCCTTACTGTTGAAGAGAATGGGCTTGTCAGAATATTATGAACATCTTGGGAGAAAAAAATCTGGCCTTAATGGCCATGTACTCTTATAATCTCCACCCAGCACAGCCAGAAGAGGACTGGCCACCCCTCAGAGCCTGGTTCCTCTCTAGGTTCCTGCCTTTCTAGTGAGATTTTCCCAGCCACCGTGCTTCTACATCTGCATTGCTTGCTGTTTGGGGTTTTAGGCTGGGTTTCTGTAGAGCACTTTGTGACATCTGCTGATGTAAAAAGGGCTTTATAAATACACTGCTCCAAAAAATAAAGGGAACACTTAAACAACACATCCTAGATCTGAATGAACGAAATAATCTTATTAAATACTTTTTTCTTTACATAGTTGAATGTGCTGACAACAAACTCACACAAAAATTATCAATGGAAATCAAATTTATCAAACCATGGAGGTCTGGATTTGGAGTCACCCTCAAAATTAAAGTGGAAAACCACACTACAGGCTGATCCAACTTTGATGTAATGTCCTTAAAACAAGTCAAAATGAGGCTCAGTAGTGTGTGTGGCCTCCACGTGCCTGTATGACCTCCCTACAATGGCTGGGCATGCTCCTGATGAGGTGGCGGATGGTCTCCTGAGGGATCTCCTCCCAGACCTGGACTAAAGCATCCGCCAACTCTGTCTGTGGTGCAACAGTCTGTGGTGCAACGTGGCGTTGGTGGATGGAGCGAGACATGATGTCCCAGATGTGCTCAATTGGATTCAGGTCTGGGGAACGGGCGGGCCAGTCCATAGCATCAATGCCTTCCTCTTGCAGGAACTGCTGACACACTCCAGCCACATGAGGTCTAGCATTGTCTTGCATTAGGAGGAACCCAGGGCCAACCGCACCAGCATATGGTCTCACAAGGGGTCTGAGGATCTCATCTCGGTACCTAATGGCAGTCAGGCTACCTCTGGCGAGCACATGGAGGGTTGTGCGGCCCCCCAAAGAAATGCCACCCCACACCATGACTGACCCACCGCCAAACCGGTCATGCTGGAGGATGTTGCAGAGCAGCAGAACGTTCTCCACGGCGTCTCCAGACTCTGTCACGTCTGTCACATGTGCTCAGTGTGAACCTGCTTTCATCTGTGAAGAGCACAGGGCGCCAGTGGCGAATTTGCCAATCTTGGTGTTCTCTGGCAAATGCCAAACGTCCTGCACGGTGTTGGGCTGTAAGCACAACCTCCACCTGTGGATGTCGGGCCCTCATACCACCCTCATGGAGTCTGTTTCTGACCGTTTGAGCAGACACATGCACATTTGTGGCCTGCTGGAGGTCATTTTGCAGGGCTCTGGCAGTGCTCCTCCTGCTCCTACGGCCTCCTCCACGTCTCCTGATGTACTGGCCTGTCTCCTGGTAGCGCCTCCATGCTCTGGACACTACGCTGACAGACACAGCAAACCTTCTTGCCACAGCTCGCATTGATGTGCCATCCTGGATGAGCTGCACTACCTGAGCCACTTGTGTGGGTTGTAGACTCCGTCTCATGCTACCACTAGAGTGAAAGCACCGCCAGCATTCAAAAGTGAACAAAACATCAGCCAGGAAGCATAGGAACTGAGAAGTGGTCTGTGGTCACCACCTGCAAAACCAGTCCTTTATTGGGGGTGTCTTGCTAATTGCCTATCGTTTCCACCTGTTGTCTATTCCATTTGCACAACAGCATGTGAAATGTATTGTCAATCAGTGTTGCTTCCTAAGTGGACAGTTTGATTTCACAGAAGTGTGATTGACTTGGAGTTACATTGTGTTGTTTAAGTGTTCCCTTTATTTTTTTGAGCAGTGTACATTTGATTGATTGAATATCTCACCTGTTTGAGACCAGATGCTGTGATTCTATCCAGGTGGCTTTCAACAGCCTTGAGGTCATCAGGATGTCCAGATCGGAACAGTTCCAGAGTCACCTGAGAAGAGAACCAACCAGTTACCAACTGCCATGTGCATTCAACCCATCCGGGTTACCAACTGCCATGTGCATTCAACCCATCCGAGTTACCAACTGCCATGTGCATTCAACCCATCCGGGTTACCAACTGCCATGTGCATTCAACCCATCTAAGTTACCAACTGCCATGTGCATTCAACCCATCCGAGTTACCAACTGCCATATGCATTCAACCCATCTGTGTTACCAACTGCCATGTGCATTCAACCCATCCGAGTTACCAACTGCCATGTGCATTCAACCCATCTGTGTTACCAACTGCCATGTGCATTCAACGCATGTTAGTTACCAACTGCCATGTGCATTCAACCCATGTTAGTTACCAACTGCCATGTGCATTCAACCCATGTTAGTTACCAACTGCCATGTGCATTCAACCCATGTTAGTTACCAACTGCCATGTGCATTCACCCCATGTTAGTTACCAACTGCCATGTGCATTCAACCCATCTGTGTTACCAACTGCCATGTGCATTCAACCCATCCGAGTTACCAACTGCCATGTGAATTCACCCCATCTGTGTTACCAACTGCCATGTGCATTCAACCCATCTGTGTTACCAACTGCCATGTGCATTCAACCCATCCGAGTTACCAACTGCCATGTGCATTCAACCCATCCGAGTTACCAACTGCCATGTGCATTCAACCCATCCGAGTTACCAACTGCCATGTGCATTCAACCCATCTGTGTTACCAACTGCCATGTGCATTCAACCCATCCGAGTTACCAACTGCCATGTGCATTCAACCCATCTGTGTTACCAACTGCCATGTGCATTCAACCCATCCGAGTTACCAACTGCCATGTGCATTCAACCCATCCGAGTTACCAACTGCCATGTGCATTCAACCCATCTGAGTTACCAACTGCCATGTGCATTCAACCCATCTGAGTTACCAACTGCCATGTGCATTCACCCCATGTTAGTTACCAACTGCCATGTGCATTCAACCCATCTGTGTTACCAACTGCCATGTGCATTCAACCCATCCGAGTTACCAACTGCCATGTGAATTCACCCCATCTGAGTTACCAACTGCCATGTGCATTCAACCCATCTGTGTTACCAACTGCCATGTGCATTCAACCCATCCGAGTTACCAACTGCCATGTGCATTCAACCCATCCGAGTTACCAACTGCCATGTGCATTCAACCCATCCGAGTTACCAACTGCCATGTGCATTCAACCCATCTGTGTTACCAACTGCCATGTGCATTCAACCCATCTGCAGCCGCCAATCACAGAAGCTTAAATGGATACCTCAGAATTTTGGCAATGAGGCCCTTAATCTACTTTCCCAGAGTCCATTTTTAGCGCAATGACTGGAAGTCTATGGTATCTACTAGCATGCTAGATCCAGCAGCTAGCGAGGCTAACCCCAGCGCTGCCCATCTCTGCTTTGTCAACAATACAAAAACAATAACAGCCGTGGGGCAGACACAGGGCTGGGCGATGTGTGTTTTAACGAGATGTTACAAATGCCTGCATCGTAAGAATCAAGGTTATTTCTTCATGAGTTTGTCTTTTTGGTCTCGTCTCCTTCTGTGCACCTTCCCACACAGACGCCAAGCCCCTCCCCCAGACACTCACAACAACAACGTCCAGATGAAAGATCACTTCCTCCTCTCTGACAACAAGCAGTTTCAACTCCCCATTTGCATTTGAGGTTTGGTCCGACAGTCGGTCATATGAAACAGACATTTACTGCAATAGAGAACCTAACCTTTGTAACGATAGCCCCGTTATGTCTCAACGTAGAACAGAGCTGATCCTACGAAGACTGGAGTATCAATTAACATGATTTTGGAAATTTTAAATGCTCAGTTACGGTACAGCTAGCAGCATTTTAGCCACAGACTTGTGCTAGCTGTCTAGTCTGTGTTTTATAGAATGTGCGATGAGCATTATATAAGGAATTGGCAACTGGTTCTCATTCTTATCCAGGGAGCCCAGTTGACTTCAACATCTAAAAACAAAGTGAACAGGCTGTTATTCAAACAGTGGGAGACAGACAGGAGGGGGTGTATTCATTACAGTTCAACTGTTCTACCTTGTTACCAAAGGTGGCTAGACTTTAAATATACAGATTAGCTGGCTCCTCACTAGCACGTGGGCTTGTGCTTGCGAGACCTGTGTTAAATTATTCCATAATGCCTGCTACCAGAAGTTGGTCAGTATTAGTGGATGTGCATGGTTGTGGTTACATTTGTAACAAAAAGGGCATTTTCATAGACTTGAAAGCCAGATCAGTCGTCATTGCAAAAAAGCAGGTTAAACTATTTTGATAAAATTATGAACTTAGTGGGTCTTATGGTTGAAGGCTTGTATTTAGCGTATGTATAATTTTAAAAGCCCTGAATTTCATTAGATTATTCCCAACTGTTTGAAATGCAGTGTATTGTCGTGGTGACTAGTACGGTCCGTCTCTTTGCCTTTGGCCGTTTTCTTGACCACACCGTGCTTTGTAGGCCTGGAGAATCCCGTGGTATGAGCCTCTTTCCCAGTGAGGGGGGGGGTCTTCCCTGTCTTCCTACCCTAGACTGAGTTAGCAGTGAAGTCCTGGGCTCCACTCTATCATCCCGGGCCATCCCCTCTTGGACTATCTCTGCTAGCCACAGAGGTTAGCTCACTCCAACCTACTGTTAACACGTCACGGGTAGTTTGTGACACGGTATACTACGCGTCAGCGGGGGCTATTTTTAGTCCACTCTGCACTATTTTTGCTTGGGCCAGCTCTTATTACGTGTTACCTCACCTTTTACACAGGATACGTTCAACCACGGGGCATAGTCTCAGACACTCCTGGTGGCGGCTGGTCCTGCCTTTCTAGTTGACCGGACAACACCCTCACGGCTATTTACATTTTTACATTTTACATTTTAGTCATTTAGCAGACGCTCTTATCCAGAGCGACTTACAGTTAGTGAATACATATTTTTTTATACTGGCCCCCCGTGGGAAACGAACCCACAACCCTGGCGTTGCAAACGCCATGCTCTATCAACTGAGCTACATCCCTGCCGGCCATTCCCTCCCCTACCCTGGACAACGCTGGGCCAATTGTGCGCCGCCCATGAGTCTCCCGGTCGCGGCCGGCTGCGACAGAGCCTGGATTCGAACCAGGATCTCTAGTGGCACAGCTAGCACTGCGATGCAGTGCCTTAGACCACTGCGCCACTCAGGAGTACTAAATCCCACTCGCTAAGTCCTGCGTATTAGAGTTTCAGTGAAGACTAATTTCTTGAAATGAATTCTTATCTGAAAGCATGGGTTAAGCACTTTGTTTGAGTAAGGATGAACTATAGATACTCAGTAATCCTTCTTTGTGTGGTTTTTACACAGTTACCCTCGAGCTCCCCTGTGGTTTCCTGCTCAAGCCCACAATATGGTCCGTGGGATAGCTAAGGTGAACCCCATGAGCCTGTGGTTATAAAATATACTTTTCTTCTTTAGCACTTTAAACTAGTTCAATTATTTGTTGAATAATGAAAACCAGTAACATGTCTACACAGAGTCAGGTAACACTTGTGGCTCACTTGGTAGGTAGAGCAAATTTAGATATCAATTGTGAAATCGCCCATAAGTTTGAAAAAATAGATATGATTTTTAGGCCATACCGCCCAGCCCTAGGCAGACCGTGGCGCTGTTTCCCTCTACTGCGGATTCCATCTTTAATCCTTTTCTTCAAAAGATCCTCATTATTCTCACACCGTCGACTCAGATGTGTAAGTTATTTTCCTGTTTTAAGCCTCCAATCACAGACAGCACCTTTGAGGGAATAGACACACCCATTTGCGGTGCAAGATGTTTTGTAGATCAGTAATCTGTCCAGAGCCTTGTTCAAGACGATCCTCTCGAACATGCTGGTAATCTCTTAAAACCAGACTCAGGGTTTTTTTCTAAATCAAAAAAGGGGCTTAGGTGGTGGACGAAAGGGTAAAACCGTCGGCGTGGCGATAAAACCGTCTACAGAGGCGTACAGAGGCCCATTATCAGCAACCATCAGTCCTGTGTTCCAATGGCACGTTGTGTTTGCTAATCCAAGTTTATCGTTTAAAAAAAGGCTAATTGATCATTAGAAAACCCTTTTGCAATTATGTTAGCACAGCTGAAAACTGTTGTGCTGATTAAAGAAGCAATAAAACTGGCCTTCTTGAGACTAGTTGAGTATCTGGAGCATCAGCAATTGTGGGTTCGATTAGAGGTTCAAAATGGCCAGAAACAAATAACTTTCTTCTGAAACTCGTCAGTCTATTCTTGTTTCTCGCTATTCCATGCGAGAAATTGCCAAAACTGAAGGTCTCGTACAACGCTGTGTACTACTCCCTTCACAGAACAGCAAAACTGGCTCTAACCAGAATAGAAAGAGGAGTGGGAGGCCCCGGTGCACAACTGAGCAAGAGGACAAATACATTAGAGTGTCTAGTTTGAGAAACAGACGCCTCACAGGTCCTCAACTGGTAGCTTCATTAAATAGTACCCGCAAAACACCAGTCTCAACGTCAACAGTGAAGAGGCGACTCCGGGATGCTGACCTTCTAGGCAGAGTTGCAAAGAAAAAGCAATTTCTCAGACTGGCCAATAAAAATAAAAGATTAAGATGGGCAAAAGAACACAGACACTGGACAGAGGACGATTGGAAAAAAGTGTTATGGACAGACGAATCGAAGTTTGAGGTGTTTGGATCACAAAGAAGAACATTTGTGAGACGCAGACCAAATGAAAAGATGCTGGAGGAGTGCTTGATGCCATCTGTATAGCATGGTGGAGGCAATGTAATGGTCTGGGGGTGCTTTGGTGGTGGTAAAGTGGGAGATTTGTGCAGGGTAAAAGGGATCTTGAAGAAGGAAGGCTATCACTCCATTTTGCAACGCCATTCCATACCCTGTGGACGGTGCTTGATTGGAGCCAATTTCCTCCTACAACAGGACAATGACCCAAAGCACAGCTCCAAACTATGCAATAACTATTTAGGGAAGAAGCAGTCAGCTGGTATTCTGTCTATAATGGAGTGGCCAGCACAGTCACTGGATTTCAACCCTATTGAGCTGTTGTGGGAGCAGCTTGACCGTATGGTACGTAAGAAGTGCCCATCAAGCCAATCCAACTTGTGGGAGGTGCTTCAGGAAGCATGGGGTGAAATCTCTTCAGATTACCTCAACAAATTGACAACTAAAATGCCAACGGTCTGCAAGGCTGTAATTGCTGCAAATGGAGGATTCTTTGACGAAAGCAAAGTTTGAAGGACACAATTATTATTTTAATTAATAATCATTATTTCTAACCTTGTCAATGACTACATTTCCTATTCATTTTGCTATATTTCCTATTCAAACTCATTTCATGTATGTTTTCATGGAAAACAAGGACATTTCTAAGTGACCCCAAACCTTTGAAAATGATATATAATTTATTTGTACACTGTTTGGACGCCTAATCCCTGAGATTGATTGATTGATTGATTGATTGGGAGTCTCTTACCCGTCCTCTGAGAGCCAGGGTCAGCAGCCACCCCTGAGATTGATTGATTGATTGATTGATTGGGAGTCTCTTACCCGTCCTCTGAGAGCCAGGGTCAGCAGCCACCTCTGAGATTGATTGATTGATTGATTGATTGGGAGTCTCTTACCCGTCCTCTGAGAGCCAGGGTCAGCAGCCACCCCTGAGATTGATTGATTGATTGATTGATTGATTGGGAGTGTCTTACCCGTCCTCTGAGAGCCAGGGTCAGCAGCCACCTCTGTCTGTTGGACAGGAGTTCTGGAACCACCTCCGTTACCATGGACACAAACTCCTCCAGCTTCCCATAATGCTTTGTGTTGCCCTGGCGCACCACCTGCCACATGACCGCTGACATCATCCGGAGAGGAGGGACCAGCAGGCCCAGGGAGGGCAGAGGAAAGGGGGATTCTGCTGGGAGGAGAGGGAGGTAGAGAGGAGAGGTTGAGTCACCATAGTGAGGCATAGTTAATTGTCTGAATAAGCAACCCGCAAGCAAAAGGCCCTCCCCTCGCCCCCCTTTCTGCAAATCAGATCATGACTCTATACTCCTGCTTCCTGTTTACAAACAGAAGCTCACAACAGGAAGTACCCCTTGCCATAGAGAAATGGTTATCCGAAGCGGAGGCTATGCTGCAGGACTGCTTTGATAGCGCTGACTGGAATGTTCTGGGACTCAGACGATAGCTGCTTCCCCAATCAAAAGCACTGGATTAACGCCAAGGTATGCACTAAACTAAAGGACAGAGCTACCGCTCACAGGGCGTGGTGACAGGTGAGGACACGTCCCGCTACGAACTCCTCAGAGCCATCAAACAGGCAAAATGACAATATAGAAACAAGGTGGAATCCTATTGTGGCAGGGCTTGCAAACTATTACGGACTACAAAGGGAAACCCAGCCGCGAGCTGCTCACTGACGAGAGCCTACCAGATGGGGTAAATGCCTTTTATGCTCGCTTCGAGGCAAGCAACACTGAAGCATGCATGAGAGCACCAGATGTTTTGGACGACTGTGTGATCACGCTCTCTGTAGCCGATGTGTGCAACCTTTAAACAGGTCAACATTCACGAGGCCGCGGGGCCAGACGGATTACCAGGACGTGTACTCAGAGCATGTGCGGACCAACTGGCAAGTGTCTTCGCTGACATTTTCAACCTCTCCCTGACCGAGTCTGTAATACCTACATGTTTCAAGCAGACCACCATAGTCCCTGTGTCCAAGGAAGCGAAGGTAACCTGCCTAAATGATTACCGCCCCGGTAGCACTCACGTCAGTAGCCATTAAGTGCTTTGAAAGGCTGGTCATGGCTCACATCAACAACATCATCCCGTAAACCCTAGACCCACTCCATTTCGCATACCGCCAACAGATCCACAGATGACGCAATCTCAGTTGCACTCCAAACTGCCCTTTCCCACCTGGACAAAAGGAACACCTATGTGAGAATGCTGTTCATTGACTACAGCTCAGCGTTCAACACCATAGTCTGTGGTCCTCTGTAGCTCAGCTGGTAGAGCACAGCGCTTGTAACGCCAAGGTAGTGGGTTCGATCCCCGGGACCACCCATACACAGAAAATGTATGCATGCATGGACTGTAAGTCGCTTTGGATAAAAGCGTCTGCTAAATGGCATATTATTATTATTATTATAGTGCCCACAAAGCGCATCACTAAGCTAAGGACCCTGGGACTAAACACCTCCCTCTGCAACTGGATCCTGGACGGGCCGCCCCCAGGTGGTAAGGGTAGGCAACAACACATCTGCCACACTGATCCTCAACATGGGGGCCCCTCAGGGGTGCGTGCTTAGTCCCCTTCTGTACTCCCTGTTCACCCACGACTGCGTGGCCAAGCACGACTCCAACACCATCATTAAGTTTGCTGACGACAACGGTGGTAGGCCTGATCACCGACAACGATGAGACAGCCTATAGGGAGGAGGTCAGAGACCTGGCAGTGTGGTGCCAGGACAACAACCTCTCCCTCAACATGAGCAAGACAAAGGATCTGCTCGTGGACTACAGGAAAAGGAGTGCCGAACACGCCCCCATTCACATCGACGGGGCTGTAGTGGAGCGGGTCGAGAGTTAAGTTCCTTGGTGTCCACATCACCAACAAACTATTATGGTCCAAACACACCAAGACAGTCGTGAAGAGGGCATGACAACGCCTTTTCCCCCTCAGGAGACTGAAAAGATTTGGCATGGGTGCCCAGATCCTCAAAAAGTTCTACAGCTGCACCATCGAGAGCGTCCTGAACGGTTGCATCACCGCCTGGTATAGCAACTGCTCGGCATCCGACCGCAAGGCGCTACAGAGGGTGGTGCGTATGGCCCAGTACATCACTGGGGCCTAACTTCCTGCCATCCAGGACCTCTATACCAGGCGGTGTCAGAGGAAGGCCCAAAAAATAGTCACAGACTCCAGTCACCCAAGTCAGACTGTTCTCTCTGCTACCGCACGGCAAGCGGAAACACCGTACATCTGGCGACCATGTCAGCTTGCAGGCGCCCGGCCCGCCACAGGAGCCGATAGAGCGCGATGGGACAAGGACATCCCGGTCGGCCAAACTCTCCCCTAACCCGGACGACGCTGGGCATATTGTGCGTCGTCCTCATTGGTCTCCCGGTCGCAGTCGGCTGCGACACAGCCCGGGATCGAACCCGGATCTGTAGTGACGCCTCAAGCACTGCAGTGCCGTAGACCACTGCGCCACTCGGGAGGCTGCATTCTCAATTGCACTCCACTCTGCCCTCTACCACATGGACAAGAGGAATACCCGTGTGAGAATGCTGTTCGTCACTGACGATGTAAACTCTCACATCTGCACAGCAGTGCCTCTCCCTCAGGAGGCAGAAATGACTTGGCATGGCCCCTCAGATCCTCTGGAATATATATATATTATTCTATCCACATATTCTTCAGATATACTATATAGTCTAGCCACACTGTCCATAATGTCTATACATCCCATCACAGACATTGCTCATGCGAATATTTCTTAATTACATTATTTTACATGTGTGCTTTGTTGTGTATTGTTAGATAGTACTGCGCTGTTGGAGCTAGAAACACAAGCATTTCTCTACACCCGCAGTAACATCTGATAAATGTGTTTTTGACCAGATTTGATTTGAAATAAAGGGGAGAGGAGACTTTTAAAAATAATGTAGAAATGGCTTTTAAACTTCGGCATTTCTGCAGCAGAACATCTGGAAAACACTGTATAAATAGCATGAACACACGGTACGGTTTTGGAAGCATAAGGACCTTATCTTTCATATCAGCGATAAATAGTTTTCAAAAAAAAATAATGTTAAATTGATACACACCTTTATAGGGTTAGGGCTCCCACACTGCCACATTTCCATGTTACTACGCTTGTTTATGGAAAACAGAGGAAAGACAGTGGACTACCTGTGTTAATTACCTACCTGCTTCTCAGAACACCTTGGTGTCCACATGTTGTCACTGAAAAACACTGTTAAAACACTGCAGTACAGCAAGTGTGGATTTTGCACTGGTACCCCGTGTGTATAGACACGTTGTCGTTACTCATTGTGGACGCATTATTACTTGCATTATTACGTGTCACTTTTTTTATTATTCCGCTACTTTCTTTCTGTCGGCGTTGTCGGGAAGGGCCCGTAATCATGTGACGAATACAATCTGATATGGTTTAGGGCTACAGCCGGATAAAACGGGCCGAAGCGAGATAGCTAACTAGATATAGAAGCATGCTAGCTAAGCTACAAACAAGCTATACGACTTTAGCTAATACGTACCCATGTTGCCCCTCTAAGCAACTTGATGCTTCGGATTGTTATAAAGACAAAATTAAATGAGAGTTGTATTTATATATATATATATATAATTTTTTTTTTAACGCTAGTTAGCACAGAAGCACCTTTTTGGCGTCTTCTTTGTTGGTGATAAAAGCGTAGCAAAAGTACTTCCGGAAACAGTCCTTATGATTGGTTCGTGCATAGAGATAGATAGAGATCTCTACTTTATATCTGTGCCATTATAGCGTCTGTGACAGCATGGGCAGCTCATTGAGGCTACAGCCCATAGGAACCCCCACCCAGCTGACTACTTAAAAATGGACGGCGGAAGCATGGTGGAATCCCCACCCAGCCTCCCCATGGTGAAATAGCTTTTTGGCCACTAGAGGCTCTATCATTCTCTATGGGTCCGTGCTATCTCAGCGTCTCCTCAGCAACACTAAAATAGGGCTGCATTACAGATGGAGATGGGGGGATATGCCATTGCAGATTAGGAGACAGCAACTGGCAATTAATTATTGGGTCAATACCCAGGCGAAGGAGATGGGACTGGATGGGAAGGGAGTTTAGTCCAACTGTAGTTATTCCTGTAAATCCACCATGGCTACTCCCGCCTCCAGTAGTTGATCTAGAAGTGTTGGAGAGACTACAGAAAGATAGGGAGGGGGTTGATCCATCAGATTTGTTTAAGAGACGTCTGAAACTGTGTATCAGGATTGTGTGGCCATTTACACAGATGGTTCAAAAGATCCAAGGACAGGACGTACTGGGTCAGCATTTGTAGTGCAGGAATGTGGGGTGGAAGTCAGGAAACGTATTACAGATCATCTGGCTGTATATACGGTGGAGCTGATGGCCATACTGTTGGCCTTGCAGTGGGCGGAGCTGATGGCCGTACTGTTGGCCTTGCAGTGGGCGGAGCTGATGGCCATACTGTTGGCCTTGCAGTGGGTGGAGCTGATGGCCATACTGTTGGCCTTGCAGTGGGTGGAGCTGATGGCCATACTGTTGGCCTTGCAGTGGGTGGAGCTGATGGCCATACTGTTGGCCTTGCAGTGGGTGGAGCTGATGGACATACTGTTGGCCTTGCAGTGGGTGGAGCTGATGGCCATACTGTTGGCCTTGCAGTGGGTGGAGCTGATGGCCATACTGTTGGCCTTGCAGTGGGTGGAGCTGATGGCCATACTGTTGGCCTTGCAGTGGGCGGAGCTGATGGCCATACTGTTGGCCTTGCAGTGGGTGGAGCTGATGGCCATTACTGTTGGCCTTGCAGTGGGTGGGAAGCTGATGGCCATACTGTTGGCCTTGCAGTGGGTGGAGCTGATGGCCATACTGTTGGCCTTGCAGTGGGTGGAGCTGATGGCCATACTGTTGGCCTTGCAGTGGGTGGAGCTGATGGCCATACTGTTGGCCTTGCAGTGGGTGGAGCTGATGGCCATACTGTTGGCCTTGCAGTGGGTGGAGCTGATGGCCCATACTGTTGGCCTTGCAGTGGGGGAAGCTGGATGGCACTACTGTTGGCCTTGCAGTGGGTGGAGCTGATGGCCATATGTTGGGGCCATTTGCAGTGGGTGCGAGCTGATGGCCATTACTGTTGGCCATTGCAGTGGGTGGAGCTGAGTGGCATACTGTTGGCCTTGCAGTGGGTGGAGCTGATGGCCATACTGTGGCCTTGCAGTGGGTGGAGCTGATGGCCATACTGTTGGCCTTGCAGTGGGTGGAGTGATGGCCATACTGTTGGCCTTGCAGTGGGGGAGCTGATGGCCATACTGTTGGCCTTGCAGTGGGTGGAGCTGATGGCCATACTGTTGGCCTTGCAGTGGGCGGAGCTGATGGCCATACTGTTGGCCTTGCAGTGGGTGGAGTGATGGCCATCACTGGCCATGAGTGGGAGATTTGGCTCTGATTGCCTTGCAGTGGTAACTGATCTCCATCCTTTGCCTGCAGTAGCAGCAAATGGACCTGCTTCGAGGTGACTACAACGCCTGCAGTGGGGAGGAGTACGTTCTTTGCAGTGGGTATATTCATAAGTTTTGTTGCAGCACCAGCCATTTTGGGGGGAGGAGAACGATGGCTAATACGGTTAGCCTTGCATGGTGGAGCTGGTGCACTGTTGAGTCCTAGCAAATGGGTGGAGCTGATCATACTGATGGTTGCAGTGGCGGAGCTGGATGGATAATGGTTTTTCAGGTAGCGATGGAAAGTCCGGGGGGAGTGGGGCAACTGGCCTGCAGGGGAGGAAAGCCATACAGAGAAGCTATTTTTTATTCAGATGTTAAGGTCCCAGTGATATATACAGTGATGTGCAGAGATGGCAGGAGCAGTGGAATAGAGATAATAAGGGAAGGCATTATTTCAGGTACAGAGGAAAGTCGGGGGAGGGGAGGACGGCAGGAAGGGACAGAAGAGAGGAGCTATTTTTTACAAGATTAAAGGTGGACACAGCCAGCTGAATAAGACATTAAATGTGATAGGAAAGCATTCAACAGGAAAGTGTGATTATTGCCAGGAAACAGAGACAGTGATGCATGTATTGCTACAGTGTGGGCAGTATCAGAGGGAAAGAGATAGGATGAGATCTAGTATGAGGCAGAAGGGGATACAGGGAAAGTATTTAAAGAGTATATTGAGTAGAACGTCATTAGATATAGTTTCAAATATTTTGTTATCTTTTTTAAGTGCAACGGGGCTGGCAGGTAGGATTTAGTTTCTCCCTGTCTCTGGCCCACACTCCAGTACGATAGGTGGCGGTAATGCATCATAATGTTGGATGCCAACCGCCGATAAACGCCACTGAAGAAGAAGAGGAAGAATACTAAAAGAGTACTTCCCGATCACGGAATTTCGGAAATGTTTCTAATAAAAGTCCCCCACGTAATAGTATAAAAGTGTAATTAACTTGTATTTATTCATGATGTATGAAAAATAATTGTCTAAACATTGACAATGATTCCTATTTGTTCATATTTAAGTGACATTTCCATTAAATGTGGGTTTTAAAACATGTTCCATGGTCAAATAAATGCCCCCAATGCAAATAAATGTATATGTATTACATATTGGATTATAGAGAATTTTTTTTATTATTTGTGCCGATGTAAAAGTGGAGTCTGTAGAATCTATATGTGGTGTCATTTCACGGGGCTCTGAATAATAGGGAGTGTTGCTGGCCTTTTACTGGGGTCAAACACCTTAAAGAGGGTTGGCTGGACACTATATGGTACAAATATAGCATTGTACAAGAAAAACTATTGCAAAACCTAAAATATCCATATTCACAGGGTAAAGTGAACGGTGGATCACCCTGGGAGGTCAGTGTGACCTGGAGGTGGACGTCTTCCCCAAGTCCTACAGAGAAGGGGGCAGGCAGCAGGGTTAGGTCAGGGAGGGGTCGGGGGGAGAAGGGGCAGGCAGCAGGGTTAGGTCAGGGAGGGGTCAGGGGAGAGGGGCAGGGTTAGGTCAGGGAGGGGTCAGGGGGAGAAGGTGGCAGGCAGCAGGGTTAGGTCAGGGAGGGGTCAGGGGAGAAGGGGGCAGGCAGCAGGGTTAGGTCAGGGAGGGGTCAGGGGGAGAAGGGAGAAGGTGGCAGGGTTAGGTCAGGGAGGGGTCAGGGAGAAGGGGCAGGGTTAGGTCAGGGAGGGGGTCAGGGGGAGAAGGGGGCAGGCAGCAGGGTTAGGTCAGGGGGGCAGGGAAGGTGGCAGGGTTAGGTCAGGGAGGGGTCAGGGGTAGAGGGGCAGGCAGCAGGGTTAGGTCAGGGGGAGAAGGGGTGCAGGGTGTAGGTCAGGGAGGGTTGTCAGGGGGAGAGGGTGGCAGGCAGCAGGGTTAGGTCAGGGGGAGAAGGTGCAGGGTTAGGTCAGGGAGGGGTCAGGGGGAGAAGGTGGCAGGCAGGTTAGGTCAGGGAGGGGTCAGGGGGAGAAGGTGGCAGGCAGCAGGGTTGGCAATACATTCTGTCATGCCACATAATGAAACATTGCTGTTTCCATGGCAATACATTTGTCATGCCGCGTAATGAAACATTGCTGTTTCCATGGCAATACATTCTGTCATGCCGCATAATGAAACATTGCTGTTTCCATGGCAATACATTCTGTCATGCCGCATAATGAAACATTGCTGTTTCCATGGCAATACATTCTGTCATGCAGCATAATGAAACATTTGATTTCCAATTTTGAGAGGAAGTTGCCAAAACTTTGCAATGGCCCAACTAGAATAACCATTGTCACTAATCGTAGATTTGTGACATTGTCACTAAAATTCTTAGAGTATTAGGAACAAGAATAGAGGTAACATTCAAAGTCTTGTTAATCAGATTGAGGAACAGGTTGGGTTGACCAACCCTTTGAGCCCCTACGTAATGAGATAGGAGGTGAGGATGAGAGTACACAGTCAAAGACAGTCATCTCGTTTATATTAAAACAACAGTCAGCGTGGGGAGGAGAAATACAGTGAAAGATAAATATGGTGAGGAATTGGTCACACTGCAAAATAAACCCAAAACACTGTTTTGTTTCTGTAAATCACCAAACAACAGGAAACGAGTAATGCTTGCATTTGATATTTGTGCAAATTGGTCTCACTTAAATTGGGTTTGCCGATCTCCAGAGATTCAAAAGGATGTAGAATCTGCTACTTTTCTATGCAACATTCTGTTGCTAGTGACAACATGGTGACATTAAACAAGTGACAACATGTGGAGAGTTCAGGTTCTACACCTACTGCATGTGGAGAGTTCAGGTTCTACACCTACTGCATGTGGAGAGTTGTAAATGAGGGAACGTCAGCTGCTCAGAGAAGACCTTCAGACCATAGGCCTACCCATGATAACTATAGGCCAAAATGTACACACCTTTGAGGATAAAGAACCTGCTTCTGATTTTCATCCTGACGTAGCCAAGAGTTCATATGAGGAAATGGCCAGTGGTGCAGCTCAATCAAATCTCGGACACCCAAGATATTAGGAATGAATACCACTTAGAGCCAGAAAGCTGTGGTGGAGGTCTATCAGAGGAGGAAATCGTAACCTCTGAATCAGAGGAGCAGCGTGTAACTGGAGAGGTTGACATGGTAAGCTCTGAATCAGAGGAGCAGTATGTAACTGGAGAGGTTGACATGGTAAGCTCTGAATCAGAGGAGCAGTGTGTAACTGGAGAGGTTGACATGGTAAGCTCTGAATCAGATCAGCAGTGTGTAACTGGAGAGGTTGACATGGTAAGCTCTGAATCAGAGGAGCAGTGTGTAACTGGAGAGGTTGACATGGTAAGCTCTGAATCAGATCAGCAGTATGTAACTGGAGAGGTTGACATGGTAAGCTCTGAATCAGAGGAGCAGCGTGTAACTGGAGAGGTTGACATGGTAAGCTCTGAATCAGATCAGCAGTATGTAACTGGAGAGGTTGACATGGTAAGCTCTGAATCAGAGGAGCAGCGTGTAACTGGAGAGGTTGACATGGTAAGCTCTGAATCAGAGGAGCAGTATGTAACTGGAGAGGTTGACATGGTAAGCTCTGAATCAGATGAGCAGTATGTAACTGGAGAGGTTGACATGGTAAGCTCTGAATCAGAGGAGCAGCGTGTAACTGGAGAGGTTGACATGGTAAGCTCTGAATCAGAGGAGCAGTGTGTAACTGGAGAGGTTGACATGGTAAGCTCTGAATCAGAGGAGCAGCGTGTAACTGGAGAGGTTGACATGGTAAGCTCTGAATCAGATCAGCAGCGTGTAACTGGAGAGGTTGACATGGTAAGCTCTGAATCAGAGGAGCAGCGTGTAACTGGAGAGGTTGACATGGTAAGCTCTGAATCAGAGGAGCAGTATGTAACTGGAGAGGTTGACATGGTAAGCTCTGAATCAGAGGAGCAGTATGTAACTGGAGAGGTTGACATGGTAAGCTCTGAATCAGAGGAGCAGTATGTAACTGGAGAGGTTGACATGGTAAGCTCTGAATCAGAGGAGCAGCGTGTAACTGGAGAGGTTGACATGGTAAGCTCTGAATCAGAGGAAGCAGTGTGTAACTGGAGATGTTGACATGGTAAGCTCTGAATCAGATGAGCAGTATGAAACTGGAGAGGTTGACATGGTCAAGCTCTGAATCAGAGGAGCAGTATGTAAACTGGAGAGGTTGACATGGTAAGCTCTGAATCAGAGAGGCAGTATGTAACTGGAGAGGTTTGACATGGTAAGCTTGAATCAGAGGAGCAGCGTGTAACTGGGAGAGGTTTGACATGGTAAGCTCTGAATCAGAGGAGCAGCGTGTAACTGGAGAGGTTGACATGGTAAGCTCTGAATCAGAGGAGCAGTATGTAACTGGAGAGGTTGACATGGTAAGCTCTGAATCAGAGGAGCAGCGTGTAACTGGAGAGGTTGACATGGTAAGCTCTGAATCAGATCAGCAGTATGTAACTGGAGAGGTTGACATGGTAAGCTCTGAATCAGAGGAGCAGCGTGTAACTGGAGAGGTTGACATGGTAAGCTCTGAATCAGAGGAGCAGCGTGTAACTGGAGAGGTTGACATGGTAAGCTCTGAATCAGAGGAGCAGCGTGTAACTGGAGAGGTTGACATGGTAAGCTCTGAATCAGAGGAGCAGCGTGTAACTGGAGAGGTTGACATGGTAAGCTCTGAATCAGATCAGCAGTGTGTAACTGGAGAGGTTGACATGGTAAGCTCTGAATCAGATCAGCAGTGTGTAACTGGAGAGGTTGACATGGTAAGCTCTGAATCAGAGGAGCAGTGTGTAACTGGAGAGGTTGACATGGTAAGCTCTGAATCAGATCAGCAGCGTGTAACTGGAGAGGTTGACATGGTAAGCTCTGAATCAGAGGAGCAGCGTGTAACTGGAGAGGTTGACGTCTAAATAAGTGTGTTTTGTCAGATGAGGCTAATTTTGGATGGTTCAGGCTTACATTGACTCGTGAGGAATGAGAGAGGGACCATGTGGAGAGAAGTGGTAGGTCTATAGTTACCATGGGTAGGTCTATAGTTACCATGGGTAGGTCTATAGTTACCATGGGTAGGTCTATAGTTACCATGGGTAGGTCTATAGTTACCATGGGTAGGTCTATAGTTACCATGGGTAGGTCTATAGTTACCATGGGTAGGTCTATAGTTACCATGGGTAGGTCTATAGTTACCATGGGTAGGTCTATAGTTACCATGGGTAGGTATATAGTTACCATGGGTAGGTCTATAGTTACCATGGGTAGGTCTATAGTTACCATGGGTAGGTATATAGTTACCATGGGTAGGTCTATAGTTACCATGGGTAGGTCTATAGTTACCATGGGTAGGTCTATAGTTACCATGGGTTAGGTCTATAGTTACCATGGGTAGGTCTATAGTTACCATGGGTAGGTCTATAGTTACCATGGGTAGGTCTATAGTTTACCATGTGTAGGTCTATAGTGACCATGGGTAGGTCTATAGTTACCATGGGTAGGTCTTATAGTTACCATGGGTAGGTCTATAGTTACCATGGGTAGGTCTATAGTTACCATGGGTAGGTATATAGTTACCATGGGTAGGTCTATAGTTACCATGGGTAGGTATATAGTTACCATGGGTAGGTCTATAGTTACCATGTGTAGGTCTATAGTGACCATGGGTAGGTCTATAGTTACCATGTGTAGGTCTATAGTGACCATGGGTAGGTCTATAGTTACCATGGGTAGGTCTATAGTTACCATGGGTAGGTCTATAGTTACCATGGGTAGGTCTATAGTTACCATGGGTAGGTATATAGTTACCATGGGTAGGTCTATAGTTACCATGGGTAGGTATATAGTTACCATGGGTAGGTCTATAGTTACCATGGGTAGGTCTATAGTTACCATGGGTAGGTATATAGTTACCATGGGTAGGTCTATAGTTACCATGGGTAGGTCTATAGTTACCATGGGTAGGTCTATAGTTACCATGGGTAGGTCTATAGTTACCATGGGTAGGTCTATAGTTACCATGGGTAGGTCTATAGTTACCATGGGTAGGTCTATAGTTACCATGTGTAGGTCTATAGTGACCATGGGTAGGTCTATAGTTACCATGGGTAGGTCTATAGTTACCATGGGTAGGTCTATAGTTACCATGGGTAGGTCTATAGTTACCATGGGTATGTCAAATAGTGACCATATGTAGGTCTATAGTTACCATGGGTAGGTCTATAGTTACCATGGGTAGGTCTATAGTTACCATGTGTAGGTCTATAGTGACCATGGGTAGGTCTATAGTTACCAGGGGTAGGTCTATAGTTACCATGGGTAGGTCTATAGTTACCATGGGTAGGTCTATAGTTACCATGGGTAGGTATATAGTTACCATGGGTAGGTCTATAGTTACCATGGGTAGGTATATAGTTACCATGGGTAGGTCTATAGTTACCATGTGTAGGTCTATAGTGACCATGGGTAGGTCTATAGTTACCATGGGTAGGTCTATAGTTACCATGGGTAGGTCTATAGTTACCATGGGTAGGTCTATAGTGACCATGGGTAGGTCTATAGTTACCATGGGTAGGTCTATAGTTACCATGGGTAGGTATATAGTTACCATGGGTAGGTCTATAGTTACCATGGGTAGGTCTATAGTTACCATGGGTAGGTCTATAGTTACCATGGGTAGGGTATATAGTTACCATGGGTAGGTCCTTTAGTTACCATGGGTAGGTCTATAGTTACCATGGGTAGGTCTATAGTTACCATGGGTAGGTATATAGTTACATGGGTAGGTCTATAGTTACCATGGGTAGGTATATAGTTACCATGGGTAGGTCTATAGTTACCATGGGTAGGTCTATAGTTACCATGGGTAGGTCTATAGTTACCATGGGTAGGTCTATAGTTACCATGGGTAGGTCTATAGTTACCATGGGTAGGTCTATAGTTACCATGGGTAGGTATATAGTTACCATGGGTAGGTCTATAGTTACCATGGGTAGGTATATAGTTACCATGGGTAGGTCTATAGTTACCATGGGTAGGTCTATAGTTACCATGGGTAGGTCTATAGTTACCATGGGTAGGTCTATAGTTACCATGGGTAGGTCTATAGTTACCATGGGTAGGTCTATAGTTACCATGGGGTAGGTCTATAGTTACCATGGGTAGGTTCTATAGGTTACCATGGGTAGGTCTATAGTTACCATGGGCAGGTCTATAGTTACCATGGGTAGGGTCTATAGTTACCATGGGTAGGTCTATAGTTTACCATGGGTAGGTCTATAGTTACCATGGGTAGGTCTTTAGTTACCATGGGTAGGTCTATAGTTACCATGGGTAGGTCTTAGTTACCATGGGTAGGTCTATAGTTACCATGGGCAGGTCTATAGTTACCATGGGTAGGTCTATAGTTACCATGGTAGGTCTATAGTTACCATGGGTAGGTCTATAGTTACCATGGGTAGGTATATAGTTACCATGGGTAGGTCTATAGTTACCATGGGTAGGTATATAGTTACCATGGGTAGGTCTATAGTTACCATGGGTAGGTCTATAGTGACCATGGGTAGGTCTATAGTTACCATGGGTAGGTCTATAGTGACCATGGGTAGGTCTATAGTTACCATGGGTAGGTCTATAGTTACCATGGGTAGGTATATAGTTTACCATGGGTAGGTCTATAGTTTACCATGGGTAAGTCTATAGTTACCATGGGTAGGTCTTTAGTTACCATGGGTAGGTCTATAGTTACCATGGGTAGGTCTATAGTTACCATGGGTAGGTCTATAGTGACCATGGGTAGGTCTATAGTTACCATGGGTAGGTATAAAAGTTACCATGGGTAGGTCTATAGTTACCATGGGTAGGTCTATAGTTACCATGGGTAAGTCTATAGTTACCATGGGTAGGTATTTAGTTACCATGGGTAGGTCTATAGTTACCATGGGTAGGTATATAGTTACCATGGGTAGGTCTATAGTGACCATGGGTAGGTCTATAGTACCATGGGCATGAGCTCATGTCTATAGAGTTACCTGTAGGGAGCTCCATGTCTATAGATTTACCGTAGGGAAACTCCATGTCTATAGATGTTACCTGTAGGGAGCTCCATGTCTATAGATGTTACCTGTAGGAAGCTCCATGTCTATGGATGTTACCTGTAGGGAGCTCCATGTCTATAGATGTTACCTGTAGGAGCTCCATGTCTATAGATGTTACCTGTAGGGAGCTCCATGTCTATAGATTTACCTGTAGGGAGCCCCCATGTCTATAGATGTTACCTGTAGGGAGCTCCATGTCTATAGATGTTACCTGTAGGGAGCTCCATGTCTATAGATGTTACCTGTAGGGAGCTCCATGTCTATAGATGTTACCTGTAGGGCTCATGCTATATGTACCTATGGGTTCATGTATAATATGTTTACCTGTATGGGAGCTCCATGTCTATGATGTTACCTGATAGGGAGCTCCATGTCTATGATGTTACCATGGTAGTGGAGCTCCATGTCTATGGATGTTACCTGTAGGGAGCTCCATGTCTATAGATGTTACCTGTAGGGAGCTCCATGTCTATAGATTGTTACCTGTAGGGAGCTCCATGTCTATAGATGTTACCTGTAGGAGCTCCATGTCTATAGATGTTACCTGTAGGGAGCTCCATGTCTATAGATGTTACCTGTAGGGAGCTCCATGTCTATAGATGTTACCTGTAGGGAGCTCCATGTCTATAGATGTTACCTGTAGGGAGCTCCATGTCTATAGATGTTACCTGTAGGGAGCTCCATGTCTATAGATGTTACCTGTAGGGAGCTCCATGTCTATAGATGTTACCTGTAGGGAGCTCCATGTCTATAGATGTTACCTGTAGGGAGCTCCATGTCTATAGATGTTACCTGTAGGGAGCTCCATGTCTATAGATGTTACCTGTAGGAGCTCCATGTCTATGATGTTACCTGTAGGGAGCTCCATGTCTATAGATGTTACCTGTAGGGAGCTCCATGTCTATAGATGTTACCTGTAGGGAGCTCCATGTCTATAGATGTTACCTGTAGGGAGCTCCATGTCTATAGATGTTACCTGTAGGGAGCTCCATGTCTATAGATGTTACCTGTAGGAAGCTCCATGTCTATAGATGTTACCTGTAGGGAGCTCCATGTCTATAGATGTTACCTGTAGGGAGCTCCATGTCTATAGATGTTACCTGTAGGGAGCTCCATGTCTATAGATGTTACCTGTAGGGAGCTCCATGTCTATAGGATGTTACCTGTAGGGAGCTCCATGTCTATGGATGTTACCTGTAGGGAGCTCCATGTCTATAGATGTTACCTGTAGGGAGCTCCATGTCTATGGATGTTACCTGTAGGGAGCTCCATGTCTATAGATGTTACCTGTAGGAAGCTCCATGTCTATAGGATGTTACCTGTAGGGAGCTCCATGTCTATAGATGTTACCTGTAGGGAGCTCCATGTCTATAGATGTTACCTGTAGGGAGCTCCATCGTCTATAGATGTTACCTGTAGGGAGCTCCACTGTCTATAGATGTTACCTGTAGGAGCTCCATGTCTATAGATGTTACCTGTAGGGAGCTCCATGTCTATAGATGTTACCTGTAGGGAGCTCCATGTCTATGGATGTTACCTGTAGGGAGCTCCATGTCTATGGATGTTACCTGTAGGGAGCTCCATGTCTATAGATGTTACCTGTAGGGAGCTCCATGTCTATAGATGTTACCTGTAGGGAGCTCCATGTCTATGGATGTTACCTGTAGGAAGCTCCATGTCTATAGATGTTACCTGTAGGGAGCTCCATGTCTATAGATGTTACCTGTAGGGAGCTCCATGTCTATAGATGTTACCTGTAGGAAGCTCCATGTCTATGGATGTTACCTGTAGGGAGCTCCATGTCTATAGATGTTACCTGTAGG